TTTATTTATTTTATTGTGATGTTATTTTGTTGTTTATATTTTATGTTGCTGTAATGTATCGCTGGGCTTGGCCTCATGTAAGCCGCTCTGAGTCCCCTTTGGGGAGATGGTGGCGGAGTATAAATAAAGATTATTATTATTATTATTATTATTATTATTATTATTATTATTATTATTATTATTAATAATATTATTATTATTATTAGTCGTCCACTGCCACACGTTGCTGTGGCCCAGACCGTGCATGTGTTTTGTGTGTGTATATATGTGTATATGTGTGTGTGTATATTTCTGTATATGTGTATATATGTGGTTATGTGCATGCGTTGCAATATATATTTTTTATTTTTTGGCTTTTAAAGTCTCTTCTGCTCGGTTTTCCAGTGTTTATATGTGTACCATGCTAACAATATAATATGTTGTATGTGTGTGTGTGTGTGTGTGTGTGTATATATATATCTTGTAAGCCGCTCTGAGTCCCCTTCGGGGTGAGAAGGATGGCATATAAAAATTGTAAATAAATAAATAAATAAATGTGTGTATTTGTGTGATTTGTTTGCAAATATATATGTGTGTGTGTGTGTGTGGTTTTGAGTTGTAATGTTTTTTGGGGGTTTTTTTTTGCTTTTAAGTCCCTTGCTGTGTTTTTCAGTGTTTTTATGAGTGATGGTCACTCGTTGGCCTGACAGGTATGTTGTGTCCAAATTTGGTGTCAATTCACCCAATGGTTTTTGAGTTCTGTTAATACCACAAACTAACTTTACATTTTTATTTATATAGACTAGCCGTCCCCTGCCATGCGTTGCTGTGGCCCAGTCTGGTGGTCATGGGGGTTCTGTGTGGGAGGTTTGGCCCAATTCTTTTGTTGGTGGGGTTCAGAATGTATCAAAGTAAATATTAGTTATATTGGTATCAGTGTTGTGCATATGAATATAAAAATGTACTGATATATTATAATAAAGAATAAAATGACAGTGTATGAAAGAAAATATTTTGGATGTATGTTTTTGTGTATGTATGCATCCATATATATGTGTGTGTATGTATATGTATGTGTATATGTGTGTGCATATGTATGTGTATATGTGTGCGTATGTATGTGTATATTTGTGTATGCATATATGTGTATGTATATGTGTGCGTATGTATGTATATATTTGTGTATGCATATGTGTGTATGCATATGTGTGTATGTATGTATATATTTGTGTATATGTGTATGCATACGTATGTGTGTATATACATGTGTATATGTATGTATATGTGTATACATATATGTGCATGTATGTGTGTATGCATATATGTGTATGCATATGTATATGTATATGTATTTGTATGTATATGTATTTGTGTGTATATGTTTATATGTATATGTGTGTATGTATATGCATATGTGTGTATGTATAGGTATTTGTGTGTATATATGTTTATGTGTATATGTATGTATGTGTATTATCTGTGCGCATGTTTATGTGTATGCATGTGTGTATGTATATGTATTTATGTGTGTATATATGTGTATGTGTATATGTATGTGTGTATATGTATATCTGTGTATGTATGTGTATATATATGTTCATATGTATGTGTGTATGTATGTGTATTATGTTCGTATATATGTTTATGTGTGTGTGTACACATACACACACACGCGCACACACATATATATATGCTTTTTTACTTTAATATATGTATATCTGTGTATATGTATTATGTGAATATGTATATCTGTGTATGCATATATATGTATGTATTAGGCCTGGGCGGTTTCGATCGTTAATCTTGTATATCGTAAAGAATCGTTTTTTTTTCCATTTACGGAGCGATATCAAAAATTTTTTTCAAACCCGGAAGGGTTTAAAAATAACGATCCGGCATGCTCCATGATGTTTACGGGCTTACGCCCGTGTCGGTAATGGCCGGAGGATCGATTACGATGCAGATTTCAAACCCGGAAGGGTTTCCAAATGACGATCCGGCATCCTCCGTCCTTTCTACGAGCTTCCGCCCGTTTCGGAAATGGGACGGAGGATGGTTATGCCTGGGAGCCAATCCGGCGCTCCCAAGCACCCCTGCAAGGCAACCGTGGCTGATTTTGATTGGCCGGGAGGGCCTTTAAAAGCGGCTCCGCGTGGCCGCTTTGCTCATTGTTGCGGCGGCGAGGGAGAAGGGAGGTCGGGAGGGAGGCTTGTATTGGCTTGTATTGGCTTCTGGCTGCATTGGCTTCTGGCTGCATTGGCTTCTGGCTGCATTGGCTTCTGGCTGCATTGGCTTCTGGCTGCATTGGCTTCTGCTGTGGCTGCTGGCATTGGCTTGCAGCAGTTTTTAATTTTTGAAAAATACCTTTTTTTATTCTTAAAAAAATAAGATTCTTTAAAAAAGAAAGTGAGCCTGTGTGTGTGTGAGCCTGTGTGTGTGTTTTTTCCCCCCTGTCTTGTGGCTGTTCTCTCCACAGCAGGGAGAGCAGAGCATTTTGTTAATTTTCCATTTCTGAATATTTTCTTAAAATACCTTTTTTTTTAAAAAAATACAAAAAATATTACAAAAAAAGGAAAGAGTCTCCTGTTGGCGTGTGCTCTCGTTTGCCCTGTGTCCTGCCTGTGTTACGTCTACATCAGGGCCAGTTTTGGCCTGATTTTCCATTTCTGAACATTTTCTAAAAATACCTGTTTTTATTCTAAAAAAAATATACTAAAAATATTCCAAAAAAAGGAAAGAGACTCCTGTTGGCGTGTGCTCTCGTTTGCCCTGTGTCCTGCCTGTGTTACGTCTACATCATGGCCAGTTTTGGCCTGATTTTCCATTTCTGAACATTTTCTAAAAATACCTGTTTTTATTCTAAAAAAATACAAAAAATATTACAAAAAAAGGAAAGAGTCACCTGTTGGTGTGTGCTCTCGATTGCCCTGTCTCGTGGCTGTGTTTGGTCCACATCAGGGCCAGTTTTTGGTTAAGTTTCCATTTCTGATTATTTTCTAAAAATACCTGTCTTTTATTCTTAAAAAAAAATATTCTTAAAAAAAGAAAAGCCTCTTCTGTTGGTGTGTGCTCTCGTTTGCCTTGTCTCCTGCCTGTGTTAGCTCTACAGCAGGGCCAGTTTTTGGCTAATTTTCCATTTTTGGATATTTTTTTAAAATACCTGTGTTTTATTCATAAAAAAAATACAAAAAATATTCTAAAAAAAAAGAGAGCCTTCTGTTGGTTTGTGCTCTCGATTGCCTCGTCTCCTGCCTGTGTTAGCTCTACATCAGGGCCAGTTTTTGGTCAATTTTCCATTTCTGAACATTATCTGAAAATACCTGTGTTTTATTCATATTATGCGTACTACTTTGTGCTTTGTGTTGCCTTACATCCCCCTACCCCCAAATCCAAAGAAGAAAAAAAAAGAAAAAAAAAACAAAAATATAAAAGCCACACAAAATGAAAAAGAAAAAAAAAGGGAGAGAAAAAAAAAAGAAAAAAATTGATTAAAAATTGACTTCCATCTCTCCTCTCCATCAGGTGTTGTGTCCTCAATGATATTTCCATTTTATCCACTTCATAGTATTTCTTTTATTCATTTGTATCTTTTTCGTACTTTTAATATAGAGTCCAATCTGTCCTCTTTATCGGGTTCCCTGTATTCTTTTTAAAGGATTTCTCCATTTCTCTTATTTCTCTTACTTTCCCTAACCACTCTTCAGTGGTAGGGATAACTTCCTGTTTCCAAAACTTCGCAAGTAATATTCTCGCCGCTGTTGTAGCAAAATAGTCTATCTTCGTTCTCATCTAATTGTAATTCCAAATCTGTAATACAAAAAAATACAAAAAATACAAAAAATATTCTAAAAAAAGAAAAGAGTCTTCGGTGGCTGTGCTCACTCATTTGTGTAGTTCCAACCAGTGCGCTCCTTTCGCCAACAGAAAGTGCTATAATACAGTGCTCGCTCATTTGTGTAGTTCCAACCAGTGCGCTCCTTTTGCTCATTATTTGTGTAGTTCCAACCAGTGTGATGAAACGCTTCCTTCCCGGCTTTTCTAGTCGCAAGGGCCAAGTGCTATCGCGAATAATTATTTATTATTATTTATTTTTTATTTATTTAAATTTTATTATTATATTATTGTTTTATTTCATTATATTATTTGTTTATAGAGCATTTAGCCTTGCGCAATCGCGCCCGCCATCTTAACGAATAGATTCGTTATTATTCAATAACGAATTGATTCGTTATTATTAAATAACGAGTTGATTCGTTATTATTAAATAACGAGTTGATTCGTATTTAGTGGCGAAGTTTCGGAAGTCGGTTTGCGCATGCGCAAAACGGGTCCGCCATCTTTGCGAAGTGATTCGTTATTACCTTAATATAGCGGCCCCATTAACGAAGCGATTCGTTATTACCTTTGCGCATGCGCGGGGGTCCGCCATCTTAACGAAGTGATTCGTAAATATTAACGAAATTTCGTAAATATCGAACTTTTTAAAGGGAAAATTTTGTAATTAATTTAAATATCGAAACAAAAAAACACCCCAATTACAAATCGATTTTAGAAACAAATTTTTTCTTGATCGGCCAGGCCTAGTATGTATGTGTATATATATGTTTGTTCATATGTATGTATGTGTATTATTTGTTCGTATATATGTTTATCTGTATGTGTGTGTGTGTCATGCTTTTTTAAACAGCTTTGTGGGAATTTGGGCTGCCTCCTTAGAGGCGAGTGGAAGCTGGGATGGTAAGAAGAGGCGGGTGCTGCTTTTGCCGCCTTCCTGGGTGTAGCACCCGAGGCAGGCACGCATCGTCTTGTGTGAAAGGGAGACACGCGTCCAGGGCCAGGGCGAGAGCGAGCGCCCCCTTCTTCCCTCCCTTTCCCTCGCGCACCGCTGTTCTTTTTCCCCGGCCGCCCTCCCTCTGGAAGATGGCCCCTCGCTCTCTCTGTGTGTGTGTCTCTCTCTCTTCGGAGCGCGCGCCCGCTGTTCCTTCCACGGGGCTGCCTCCCCCCCGGGGTTGAGGGGCGGGGGCAAATATAAGAGGAGAAAGAGAGGAGAGACTTCTCTCCCGGCCCGGCGCTGATCTCGAGCCCGGATTGGCCGCTGTCTCGGCTGACGTCACGATCATGATGAGAATTAATGATCGGAGGCGCTGATTTCATTGTGACGCCGGGACCGAGCCAGCCGAAACCGGCTGAATCCGGCGCCCTGGGCCCCCCCGGAGCGGCCCCGCCCGTCCCACAGAGCACGGTGGGTGCAGCGGAAGGGGGGCGCGGGTTTTTTGTGGGGGGGGGGAGAGCGAGCAGCCCCTCCCCTCCTGAAGGGCCGGGTGGGGGAGGGGAGAGGAAGGAAGGAAGACGCCGGCGCTGCTTTCCCTCAGCTTCGAGCCCGCGCCTAGCTTGGGCTCCACAGCGCATGCGCGGCGGCGGTGGCGGCGGCACCGCTTGGGCCACCAACTTGCGGCAGGAAGACACAGGCGCCCGCTGCCTGTTGCTAGTGAAAAGCGCATGCGCGGGGTAGAGCGGAAAGCCAAGGCTGCCAGCACAGGGCAGCCTTGGTTTTCCGCTCTACCCCGCGCATGCGCTTTTCACCCATCGCGCTCACTGCAAAGGCAGGTGGCTGCAACACACTCCACAGCGCATGCGCATATTGAGGCTCCTCTTTTTTTTTGTTGGCGCATGCTCGTAATGCTCAAATGGGTAGATTTTTCTCTCACCCCACAGCGCATGCGCATGTTGAGGCTCCTTTTTTTTTGTTGTTGGCGCATGCTCGTAATGCTTAAAGGGGCAGATTTTTTTTCTGTCCCCCACAGCGCATGCGCATGTTGAGGCTCCTTTTTTTTTGTTGTTGGCGCATGCTCGTAATGCTTAAAGGGGCAGATTTTTTTTCTGTCCCCCCCCCCCCTTTTAAAAATCATTTGGAAGTTTAATTGGGAAGCAGTAAAGGCCCTTTCCACACAGCTGAATAAAATCCCACATTTTCTGCTTTGAACTGGAATATAGGACAGTGTGGACTCAGATAACCCAATTCAAATGAGATATTTTTTGAATAATCTAATCTTTATTTGAGATTTTCAGTTAAAAACAATACGAATCAAAGATAATAAGGTGCAAATTAAATAGAAAAGAAAGGAAGAAAAATTAAAAAACATTTTAAATGAGATAATGTGGGATTTTCTGCCTTGATATTCTGGATTATGTGGCTTTGTGGAAGGGCCCTGAATGACAAGGTGGGGAGAAAATGACTGCAGCAATTATATCAAGAGGTACACACCAGGTTATCTGCATTCAGCTGGATGACATTTATTTATTTATTTACTATATTTATATACCGCCATTCTCAGCCCAGGGCGACTCAGGGCGGTTTACAAACGGCACAATTCGATGCCTGCAATAACATTAAAACAATTAAAACATTTAACATGAGTAAAATTCAATAAATAACTAAACAGTAAAAATATAAATCCTCTGCATCTCATGAGTCCGTAGTACCGTATAATCCAGTTCACAGTAGATAATTTTAGGCCCTTTCCATACCACTGTATAAAACCCACATTGAACTGCATTATATGGCAGTGTGGGCCCTTCCACACAGCCATATAACAAAGAATATCAGACAGAAAATCCCATAATATCTGCTTTGAACTGGGGGGCCCTTCCACACAGCCTGATATCCCAGAATATCAAGGCAGGAAATCCCACATTATCTGAATGTGAACTCAGATAACCCAGCTCAAAGCAGATAACCTGGATTTTATATGGCCACAATATAACTGGGTAATATGGCAATGTGGACACAGATAACTCAGTTCAAAGCAGATAGATATTGTATTGTCGAACGCTTTCCTGGCCGGAATCACTGGGTTGTCGTAGGTTTTTTTGGGCTATATGGCCATGTTCTAGAAGCATTCTCTCCTGACGTTCCGCCTGCATCTATGGCAAGCATCCTCAAGGGTAGTGAGGATGCTTGCCACAGATGCAGGCGAAATGTCAGGAGAGAATACCTCTAGAACATGGCCATATAGCCCAAAAAAACCTACAACAACCCAGATAGATATTGTGGGATTTTCTGCCTTGATATTCTTGGTTATAGGGCTTTGTGGAAGGGCCCCAGAATATCAAGGCAGAAAAATCTCACAATATCTGCTTTGAACTGGGTTATCTGAGTCTACACTGCCATATTACCCAGTTCAAAGCAGATAATGTGGAATTTTATTCAGCTTTGTGGAAGGGGCCTCAGATATTGTGGATTATCTGTCTTGATATTCAGGGATATATGGATGTGTGGAAGGGTTTTCTGCTTTAAATTGGATTATATGAGTCTGCACTGCCAGGTAATCTGGGATAAACAGAAAAGCTACGATCAGATCCTGGGATGTAGGGCCTGTCTGGAAGGGTCTTAAGGCCATTTAAAATCCAGATTATGTGCTTTGAATTGGATTATATGGCAGTCTAGACTCATATAATCCAGTTCAAAGGAGATAATGTGAATGGTCTGCTTTGATAATCTGAATTGTATGGCAGTGTAGAAGGAGCCCAAGGGCCCTTCCACACAACTTTATGAAATCCACATTGAACTGGATTATATGGCAGTATGGACTCAGATAACCCAATTAAAAGCCGATATTATGGGATTTTCTGCCTTGATATTCTGGATTATATGTTTGTGTGGAAGGGCCATCAGGGCCCTTCCAAACAGCCCTATATTCCAGAATATCAAGGCAGAAATCCCACAATATCTGCTTTGAACTGGGCTATCTGAGTCCACAGTCAGATAATGTGGGATTTCCTGCCTTGAAATTCTGGGATATAGGACTGTGTGAAAGGGGCCTAAGACTGGAAATGAAAGGGAGCTTTCCTAATAGAAGTAACAGTTAAGTGTTACACTGTGTTTTTTAAAGAAACATTTTATCCATGCCACCCATTACAGAACTGTTTGGATTTAAGCGAGAACACTATATGGATGAGCATCATAACATAAAATCACACTGAAACAATAAATGCAACATTTGTTGTTATTAACTTCCATCCAGTCATCCTTCCCACAACAGTCTCGCTCAGCTCTTGCAGACTCAGTGCAAATATGATAAGAGATGTGTTGTTGAAAGCTTTCATGGCCGGTTGCTGTGAATTTTCCGGGCTGTATGGCCATGTTCCAGTAGCATTCTCTCCTGACATTTCATCTCCATCTGTGGCAAACATCCTCAGAGGTCTGCTGGAAATGAGGTGTGTGTGTGTGTATGTATGTATGTATTATATATGTCTGTTATCTACACCTGTGGAATGTCCAAGGTTTGGGAAAGAACCCTTGTCTGTTTGAAGCAAGTGTAAATGTTGCAATTGGCAAGCTTCATTAGCATTGAATAGCCTTGCAACTGCAAAGCCAATCAGTGTTGTTGCCTGGAGGCATCCTTTGCTTGCGAGGTGTTAACTGGCACTTGATTGTTTGCTGTCTGGAGTCCCCCATCCCCCCCCCCCCGCCCCCCCGTTTCTGAGTGGTGTTCTTTATTTCCTGTCTTGATTCTGGTGTTTTTTTAACTACTGTTATTAAATTAATTTGCACTTGCTTCAGACAGACAACTGTTCTTTCCCCCACCCCGGATTGTCCACAGATACACTCCACTGGTGGAGGCTCCTTTTTTGGAGGCTTTTAAACAGAGGCTGGATGGCCATCTGTCAGGGGTGCTTTGAATGCAATATTCCTGCTTCTTGGTAGGGGGTTGGACTGGATGGTCCATGAGGTCTCTTCCAACTCTATGATTCTATTATTCTACTTGCCTCGTTTACATACTGAAGCTGTTTGCCATAGGTGAAATGTCAGGAGAGAATGCTACTAGAACATGGCAGTGTAGAAGGGGCCTCGGATTGCGGTGGATGAAAGGACAAGAGGGAATAATAATAATAATAATAAGTGGCAGGCTGCATCTATACTGTAGAATTAATGCAGTTTGACACGGCTTCAATTACTATTTATTTATTTTTATTTATTTACGACATTTATATGCCGCCCTTCTCACCCCGAAGGAGACTCAGAGTGGCTTACAAATACACATACACACACACACTATATATATATATATATATATATACCGTATATTCCGGCATATAAGACGACTGGGCGTATAATACGACCCCCAACTTTTCCAGTTAAAATATAGAGTTAAGACAACTCCCATGCATAAGACTACACCCGCATATAAGACGACCCCTGACTTTTGAGAAGATTTTCTTGGGTTAAAAAGTAGTCTTATACGCCAGAATATACTGTATATATATATATATATAATATTATTAGTACATTATCAGTATTATATATTACTATATTTTACTATACCATTATATTGTAATATTATTAGGAATATTACATGTAATATAAAATACTAGACTATGGAACCAAGGGACATCGTCTTATGAGGTATTGAACCTTCTCTGCCAAAGACTGCTAATGCCTCACCAAACTACAGATCCCAGCAATCCATAACTTTGAGCCTTGGTAGTTAAAGTAGTTTCAAACTGCATTCATTCAACAGTGTATATGCATTTCCACTGAAACCTTACAATAGATAAGAGTCCAGTTTTAGTTGCTGGTGTATCACAGGTGCTTGCTCAGCCAACTGTATCAATACTTATCACAAATTTATACTAGAATATATTTCCACCTAATTGGCTAAAATAATTGCTATGCTTTGTGATATGCAATAGATTGATTAAAGCCTAAAAATAGTATGGCACACACATTAAATGGAAAGCAAATCATCCTGACAGTAATAAAAATGAAAAATTTAAAAATATCTCATTGCTATCTGATGTAAAAAGTAGCAGGAGGCAAAGTAGGCGATTGTCTCATTAAATAGAACTTCAACTTTTTGGGGATTATGGCTAGGGTATTCTTGGAATTGTAGTCCCAGTATTCCCTAAATATTAGAAGCATATACGGCAACTGGTTCCAGAAAGAAAGAGCCAACTTTATGTGCCATTTCCTCTTACTACCTATCTCTTCAAAGCAGGAGTATTTTCATCCATTTTTCATTCAGAACAGTTTTGTGCAGGGAAAGATTTCCTATTCATAATAGATGTGGGTTGTTTATGGCTTTACAGCTCTCAACCAAAGTCCTGAATTGTGTATACGGATATCAATCTGGAAACATAGTATGCCCCACTCTATAGCTTAAGATACAGGCACATCTCGAATTCATGAATTAGACGTGTTGCTGGGTTTAATTACAAGTTTGATGCCAGAGGTGGAAAGAACATGGAAAGAAAAGGCATGTGATCATACATATGAGAGCCAAGTCAGGCATGGTTTGTGCAAGCGCACAAAATTTATTTATTTATTTATTTACAATATTTATATTCTGCCCTTCTCACCCCGCAGGGGACTCAGGGCAGATTACAATATACATATACATGGCAAACATTCAATGCCATAGACACACAACATATATAGACACAGAGGCTATTTAACATTCCAGCTTTTTCAAGCTGGTCACCAGGGGAGCTGTTGCTTCACCGTCCATTTGTGACACTGGTGAAGTACTTCCTCATTCTTTGCATGCTTGTTGGAGATTTTTATGGCATCGTAAATTAGCTTCCCCGCATAAGCGGTACCTAAATTTCCTACTTGACAGATACAACTGTCTTTCGGGCTGCAAAGGTTGACAGCAAGCTACACAAAATGGTCAGAAGCTCACTCCGACCTGGGCTGGCTTCGAACTCATGACCTTTTTGGTCAGTAATGATCTCAATGCAGCTGATTCCCAGCCAGCTGTGCCACAGTCCCGGTGCACAATGATTTTGAACCTTCTAGAGGCCACTTGAAAGTGCAGCTAAAGGTCCAACTTCACAGGTTTGGCTCCTGAAAAAAAAGACTTCGGCCCCTTTTGCACTGCCATGTAATCCAGATTATCAAAGCAGATAATCACATCTGCTTTGAACTGGATTATATGAGTCTACACTGCCATATAATCCAGATAATCTGGAGTTTATATGACAGTGTAGAAAGGGGTCTTAGTGCCCTTCCACACAACCCTATATTCCAGAATATCAAGGCAGATAATCCACAATATCTGCTTTGAACTGGGTTACCTGAGTCTACACTGCCATATAATCCAGTTCAAAGCGAAAAATGTGGGATTTTATTCAACTGTGTGGAAGGGGCATTAGTGAAAATAGCTTGACAGAGGTTTTCTTAACTGAGTGATGTATGTGTTTACATTGGAATGAATCCTTGTTAATCCTGCTACCATCATCTGACCTGTGTGCTGTATGATGTAGTGACTAAATAGAGCAAAATAGAAGGTGCCCTCTTGAAGTCATTCTCAAGTTCGGTCCACATAACCACACCATTTTCTACATTGTGAGGATAATAATGAGGGATTACATTATAGGGCTGTCATAAAGATGGTTGCAAGGTAATACTGGTTTAAATGTGGAGGCACAACATACATGTTTTCATATGTTTTTCAAGGACTATTGCCATAACACAAGACAGTGATTGAAACTAGAGTGTTCCAAGGTTGATTTTCATAGATTTTCTTTACATACAGTTTGGAGTATGACATGAAAACAACTGATAGATTTGCCTGGTCCACTGAAGAACAGATAGATAGGTGTTTTATCTAAACATTAAACCAATGTATAGATTTTAGACCAATGTATTTTTGAATGTGAGGATTGAAAGTGGTGATTATTTTTTTTCTGGCTATTTAGTGTAGCTTGCAAGCCCCTCCGTTTCCTACCTAGGCTGCATTAGTGGAGCTTACTTTCCGGCTTAAAAAAGGTTCTATCAACCTACTCATTCCATGCTGTCTTTATCCCCAGGGAAATGTTAAGATGGCTAAATGTAGTCAATTTTGTTAGGCAAGCATGAGTATGTTCAGCAGCTATTTTGGTGATCGTTTTGCTTCACAAAAAACACAGGGAGACTAACCACCTACATTAAATACAGTTACATTCTTAACTGTATAAGAACAGATCTCTACAATGCTGTAGTCCAGTGGTTCCCAACCTTTTTTTGACCAGAGACCACTTGAACAGGGACCACTTTGACCTGAGACCACTTTGACCAGGGACAACTTGAACAGTGACCACTTTGACCTGAGACCACTTTGACCAGGGACCACTTTGACTAGGGACCACTTGAACAGGGACCACTTGAACAGGGACCACTTTGACCTGAGACCACTTTGACTAGGGACCACTTTGACTAGGGACCACTTGAACAGGGGCCACTTTGACCAGGGACCACTTTGACCAGGGACTACTTGAACAGGGACCACTTTGACCAGGGACCACCTTGACCAGGGACCCTTGACTAGGGACCACTTTGGCCAGGGACCACTAGACCAGAGACTACTTGAACAGGGACCACTTTGACCAGGAACCACTTTGACCAGGGACCACTTTCCAACATAAGTACCAAAAGGGTTATGAATCAGGTTTTGGTCAACGTTAGATTCAGTTTGGTTATTTGGGGTGCTGATTCAGAACACATCAGCTCTAGTTTCTGATACAGAACACATGCCATCCAGTAGTCACCATCCGCTCACCCATAGAAAATCATATTTAACAATTTAGCACTGATGGGGTAGTAGTAATATTTCGTGGGTAGTCAGCCTCTCCCCTCCCGACATCCCCATTGCCTCGACACTCTCAGAGAGTTTCACGTGACCAGTTGCTCTTGTTGTCACATGGTTTTGAGGCAACAACATAGTAATGGTGAAACCACAGACCATATTTTTATTCTTGTGGACCACAGGTTGGGAACCACTGCTATAGTCAAATCAGTAACCCAGTTCTTTTTCTTTTCTTTTTTTTCATGTTAGGAGTGATTTGAGAAACTCATGTTTTCATGTTAGGAGTGAAACTCACTTCTGGTGTGAGACAATGGGCTGTCTGTAAGGATGTTGTCCAGGGGACACCTGGATGTTTTGATGTTTTACCATCCTTGTGGGAGGCTTCTCTCATGTTGCCACAAGGGGATCTGGAGCTGATAGAGGGAGCTCATCCATGCTTTCACCGGATTCAAACTTCCGACTTGTCGGTCTTCAGTTCTGCCGGCACAAGGGTTTAACCCATTGCACTACCAGGGGCTCCAGTTTTTCAAAATGTTAAACTTATATTCAAGTATATACAGTTAGCTATGTAGATGAAGCAATCACTTGTCTGGAAAAGGAGAATAAAGCACAGCCAATTGAAGATCTGTAAGATGTGCACCTTTACATATGGCAAAGATTTTTTTTTAAAAAAAAATAGGAGATGTAAGGATTTGCTGGTATCAGACCGTCTGTACATTAATATTCAATCTGATAAATTCACCCACATGATTTATTGACCACCAAATCCAGTGAGAATCTTTTGAAGATTCTCTTGCTATTGATTTTTTCCACTGCTTTTGATTGCCGGCTGCGGTGGAAGTTTCAGAAACGAGTGTCCGCTTCATATACAGTTATTGACTTCTCAGTCAAAACTGATATTATTCCTTCTGTCCAAAAAGGGAGTCAAGTATCTCATTTATTTCTCAAATGTGGGTGGATATGCTCGTCCTCAGGTAAAGCGGATGCTCTGCCCCTGACCTGTACCCCTTCCCTAACAGGTTTCTTAAACAATCTGAAAGTCTTAAAAGTATTCACATTTTCAGAGTATCTTCTTTTATTTTTAGATGAATCTGCGTTCTGTATTTACTGCAGAACAACAAAGGATATTGCAACGTTATTATGAAAATGGAATGACAAATCAGAGTAAAAATTGCTTTCAGCTCATATTACAGTGTGCACAAGAAACTAAGCTGGACTTCAGTGTAGTCAGGGTAAGTACTGAGGTCTTCCGTGGTCAAATTTACATGATAGTTTAACAAATACACCTGCTTTCTTATTCACCTGAAGTGCATGGGGCTGTTAAGAAATCAAAAGCTTCATTGCCAGATAAAACTTCTCCTTTTTTCCCCTTTCTTTCTTTTGATAACTTTTTGTAGTCTTCTCTGTTGTCTGAGATAATGCCACCAGGTCCTTTCATCTTGTCCAAGCAACACAAGTCTCTCACATCTCAAGTTAGTGCTTTTGTTGAAAATCTGGCTTTTGTATGTTTTGAAAAATTGCTGTCATTTTACTACTCTTGATGTTTGGAGTTTTCTGAAGATGAATTTCTGTGATGTACATTAAGGGCCATTCACCTTTAATGCACTTTCTTTGCCTTACGTTCACTTTCAATACAAATCTACACATTTACAGTATAAGTACAGGAAGAGTTGGAGCCCCTGCCGCAGTGGGTTAAACCGCTGAGCTGCTGAACTTGCTAACCGAAAGGTTGCAGGTTCGAATCCGTGTTGTTTTGTGTTTGCTTATTGTATATTCTGTTATTCTATATATTGCATTTTGATATTATTATTTGCTTGTTTGTATTTTACTTTGTTGTATTGTAATTTTGGGCTTGGCCTCATGTTAGCCAAGCCAAGTCCCCTTTGGGGTGGTGGTGGTGGGGTATAAATAAAGATGATGATTATTATTATTACTATTCTTAGAGAAGCAGTAGGTATGTGAAATACTAAGCAATTAACTTTAAGGAAGAATCTATAGCTCTATGGCTATTCCGGTGGTGAGGTGGTTTAAACCGCTGAGCTGCTGAACTTATTAACCAAAAGGTAACAGGTTCAAATCCGGGGAGCAGGGTAAGCTCCTGCTGTTAGCCCCAGCTTCTGCCAACCTAGCAGTTCGAAAACATGCAAATGTGAATAGATCAATATGTACCGCTCTGGTGGGAAGGTAATGGCATTCTATGCAGCCATACTGGCCACATGACCTTGGAGGTGTCTACGGACAATGCTGGCTCTTTGGCTTAGAAATGGAGATGAGCATGAGATGAGTCGGACATGACTGGACTTAATGTCAGGGAGAAATCTTTAGCTAGGTTAATAACTGGGGCGGCATACAGGCAGCACACAACTCCCATGTTAAGCCAGCTCCACTGGTTGCCAGTTTGCCACCGGGCACAATTCAAAGTGCTGGCTTTGGCCTGTAAAGCCCTAAACAGCCCCGGCCCAATTTACCTGTCCGAACGCATCTCCCCCTATGAACCATCGCAGAGATTAAGATCCTCCGGGGAGGCCCTGCTCTCCATCCCGCCATTGTCACAGGCACAACTGGAGGGGACGAGAGACAGGGCCTTCTCGGTGATTGCCCCCCAGCTATGGAACTCACTTCCTGGTGAGATCAGGTCGGCCCCCTCCTTCCTGTCCTCCAGAAGGATTGTAAAAACTTGGCTGTGGGACCAAGCTTTCGGGACAGGGCAATAAGTCAGTGATTGGAAATTTTACCAAGCCAATTTAGATTTGACACAGATGACCAATGATGGTTTTAAAGGGTGTATTTTAATATTTTGATAAATGTTTTTAATGTTTATGCATACTCATATGAATTCTTGTCCTGGCATTGAATGTTTGCCGTATATATGCTGTGCTCCACCCTGAGTCCCCTTCAGCGTGAGAAAGGCAGAATATAAATGTTTTAAATAAATAAATAAATACCTTTACCTTACAGCAAGAGCTATGTTTAAATTGGCAGCTATAATCTTGCTAGGTAGTTGACTTTGTTGGGATCCTAGAAGGAAATAAGATGACTGTGGGCCCTTCCAGAAAGGCTCAATATCCCAGGATCTGATCCCAGGTTTTCTGTTTATCCCCAATTATCTGGCAGTGTGGACTCCTATAATCCACCTTAAAACAGAAAACCTGGGATCAGATCCTGGGATATAGGGACTGTCTGGAAGGGTCCAGTGCTAGTGGCAGAAAGAATACCTGGTACTGGTTTGTAAATACTGAAATAATTTATTACATTAGCAACTACTGTATATACTGGAGTATAAGCCTAGTTTTTCAGCACTTTTTTAGGCTGAAAAAGTCCCCCTCGGCTTATACTCGAGTCAAAGTTATTATTTTACTCTGTTATTATTATTATTATTATTATTATTATTATTATTATTATTATTACTACTACTATATTATCATCATTTTATTTATTATTTTATTCTATTTATTTTTATTACATTAATCATATTACTCTATTATTATACATTTATTTACTGTATAATTGTTGTTATTGCTACATTCATTATTTTACTCTTTATTATTGTTATTATTAAATTTGTTATGTTGCTCTCTTTATTATTATTGGAAGGATACATAAGCACATTTACATTGAAGAATTCATTTGCAGGAAAAGAGAGATAAGAAATCCTTATCTGGGTTGTTGTAGGTTTTTTCGGGCTATATGGCCATGTTCTAGAGGCATTCTCTCCTGACGTTCCGCCTGCATCTATGGCAAGCATCCTCAGAGGTAGTGAGGTCTGTTGGAACTAGGAAAAGGGTTTATATATCTGTGGAATGACCAGGGTGGGACAAAGGACTCTTGTCTGCTGGAGCTAGGTGTGAATGTTTCAACTGACCACCTTGATTAGCATTTAATGGCTCGGAAGTGCCTGGGGGAATCTTTTGTTGAAGGTGATTTGATGTGCGTGATTGTTTACTCTCTGTTGTTTTGCTGTTGTAATTTTAGAGTTTTTTAATACTGGTAGCCAGATTTTGTTCATTTTCATGGTCTCCTCCTTTCTGTTGAAATTGTCCACATGCTTGTGGATTTCAATGGCTTCTCTGTGTAGTCACATAGGGACCACCAAACGCAGCGCCCAAACACGAATCAAGGAACATGAAAGGCACTGCAGACTACTTCAACCAGAGAAGTCAGCCATAGCAGAGCACCTGATGAACCAACCTGGACACAGCATATTATTTGAGAACACAGAAATGCTGACCACTCTCACAACCACCATGTCAGACTACACAGAGAAGCCATTGAAATCCACAAGCATGTGGACAATTTCAACAGAAAGGAAGAAACCATGAAAATGAACAAATCTGGCTACCAGTATTTAAAAAAACTCTAAAATTACAACAGCAAAACAACAGACAGGAAACAATCAGGCACATCAAATCACCTCTCAACAAAACATTTCCCCAGGCACTTCCAAGCCATTAAATGCTAATCAAGGGTGGTCAGTTGAAACATTCACACCTAGCTCCAGCAGACAAAAGTCCTTTGTCCTACCCTGGTCATTCCACAGATATATAAACCCATTTTCCTACTTCCAACAGACCTCACTACCTCTGAGGATGCTTGCCATAGATGCAGGCGAAACGTCAGGAGAAAATGCCTCTAGAACATGGCCATATAGCCCGGAAAAACCTACAACAACTCAGTGATTCCAGCCATGAAAGCCTTCGACAATACATAGTCTTATCTTAAATTACCATTTTTGAAAATATTCAAAAATATATAACTTACTGATTCCTCAATTAATGTAATTTAATTGGTATCTATTTTTATTTTGCAATTTACCAGTAGCTGCTGCATTTCCCACCCTTGGCTTATACTCGAGTCAATCTGTTTTCTCAGTATTTTGTGGTAGAATTAGGTGCCTCGGGTTATATTCGGGTCGGCTTATACTCTAGTATATACGGCAAATTAAATCTTCCCCTTTCCTTGGGTTAAGTCCATAGATTTCCCAACGAGTGCTAAAATTAATCAGCCCACCAATATAATTGATTGAAGTTGTAAGAATTCCTGGAGATTGGGGGGGGTGGGTCTCTGCCCTATAGCAGCAAAAGCAGGAGGATCCCAAGAGAGGAGGGAGTCGGAGTGGAGGAAATGCATCACATGGCTCTGCGCTGGACGGCTTGCTCTAATCTGCCCAGGGCTAATTTTAGAAGCAAGTAAATGGTGAAGCCCTGCCTGGAAAGGAGTGGGCGAGGAGGGGGACAGTCTGTTTGCTTAGCAGGAGGCCCTTTAGGGTTGGAGACTCATGGCTCCCTCCTGCCCTGTGGTCCTGCATGGACGTGGTTGGATTCTCCCTGGGTGGCAAGCAGAGAGGGGCTGTGAGTCTTTTCCATTCCCCTCTGACTCTTACTGATTATAATGTTCTGATGTTGTGTACTGTTACTTAGAGTGACTGTCAGCAAATCCCTTTGTTCTCATTTTTGTGCCTGTAATGTTCACAAAGTGCTAGGCAGTCACTTGCTTCACAAAGCAGAAAGTTTTCATCAACCCTACTCCCATCTCCTTTTTTTGGGCGGGGGGTGGGCTTCCACACAGCTCTTTATCCCACAATGTCTGCTTTGAACTGCTTTATCTGAGTTCACACTCAATGTGGGATTTTCTGCCTTGCTATTCTGCAATATAGGGTTGTGTGGGTTTCTCCTTCTCTCCTTCATTTTATGGTTATAGCGGCCATGGTAGTGCAGTGGGTTAAACTGCTAAGCTGCAGAATTTGCTGACCGGAAGGTCAGCGGTTCGAATCCACGGCACGGGGGGAGCTTCCATTGCTAGACCAAGCTTCTGCCAACCTAGCAATTCAAATGCATGCAAATGTGAGTAGATCCATAGGTACTGCTTCGGTGGGAAAGTAATAATACTCAATGCAGTCATTCCGGCCACATGACCTAGGTTACATCCTGTATAGATTAGTGCAACGCTCTCTATGTGGGGTTGCCTCTGAAGACTGCCCGGAAGCTACAATTAGTCTGGCGCTCGGCAGCCAGGCTACTGATGGGAGCTGGGTACAGGGAGCGCACAACTCCCTTGCTGCACCAGCTCCACTGGCTGCTAATTAGCTTCCGAGCACAATTCAAAGTGCTGGTTTTAACCTATAAATCCCTATACGGTTCCGGCCCAGTTTACCTGTCCGAATGTATTCTCCCCTATGAACCATCAAGGATGTTAAAATCTTCCGGAGAGGCCCTGCTCTCGGTCCCACCGCCTTCGCAAGCGCGTTTGGTGGGAACAAGAGACAGGGCCTACTCTGTGTTGGCCCCTCAGCTATGGAACTCTCTCCCGAGCGAGATTAGATCTGCCCTCTCCCTCTTGTCCTTCAGGAGGCTAGTGAAATCCTGGTTATGGAACAAAGCATTCCCAGAATAATGGCTGAGACTGGTTACAAAGCAAAGTGAGTGACCACATATGCGGACTGAGTTGAACATGATTTTCCCTTGGCGATTTGATATATATGTATTTTATCTTGTATTGTTGTATGATGTTTTAACTTGTATTAGTAGCATTGAATCCTTGCTGTAAGCCGGTCTGAGTCCCTCTACGGAGGTGAGAAGATCGGGATATAAAAGTTATAAATAAATAAATAAATAAATATGGACAATGCCAACTCTTCGGCTTAGAAATGGAGATGAGACACCCCCCCCCCCCAGAGTTGGACTTGACTAGACTTAATGTCAAGGGGAAACCTTTACCTTCATGGTTATTTCTTTGTTTGTTTGTTTGTTTTTTGGGGAGGATAGGTGGTCTGGAGCACTTTTGCACTTTTTTGTTTTTACTTTAAACCCGTGGCAACTCTTTATGTTAGTTTCCTGTGTGAAGGTGTAAGGTTTGCTTCTGTACTGGGGTAACTTCAGTGGTTGTAATGTGTGATACTTGCTAACTATGTGGATCACCTCAATGCATGAATCATCTTTGCATCCGCTTCACATTACATGATGTTGGGAAATGGCTATTTCTCTTGTGAAGATTCTGCCGAGTTGTTCACATGGTGAATGGCTCTATCACATTGTCTTTTCATGATCTTCAGACAGGGAATGCCATTTGGGAATAATCCTCTAGACATTTGGCTCTGGATTCTTGTGTGATTACTTCCTAAGAAAATCTGCTGTGCTACAATTTCTGTGACAAGATAAATGATGTCTATGGAAAATACATAGAAATCTGGCTTTCTATGATTTTTTTTAATCATGTCAGAAGCGACTTGAGAAACTGCAAATCATTTCTGGTGTGAGAGAATTTGCTGTCTGCAGAGACGCTGCCCTGGATGTGTTACCATCCTGTGGGAGGCTTCCCTAATAATAATAATAATAATAATAATAATAATAATAATAATAAGGATAGTGCATCATCAAGTTATTCCATGGTTTCGTATAATTATGCTGTGTTTGGGAAGGCCTGCTCAAAAAGCTAGGTTTTTTCCTTTCTTAATATCTGTAATTAAAATCCAATATTTAATTGAACTAACTAATAATGTAAGTGGTTTCTGGTGCCGAGTTTTTTTTTTTAAGTTTTCAAAATGTAATGGCATTGAAATCCAAGATAATAATAATAATAACAACAACTACTACTACTACTATTACTACAACTACAACTTTATTCTTGTACCCCACCTCCATCTCCCCAATCCATGCTGATACAGGTTGGCCACTGAACTTCAGCACTGCCACATACACATGGCAATGTTCCTTCTCAGATTTGTTCTGGAAAAGGAAAGAGATACAGTTTTGCAATATATTGCACTACAGTTGCTACCAGTGGTTTTGTGCCACCGTGAGTCCAAAGTGGCTTTTCCCATACTGAGAACTTAGCCTCCCTTTCATTAAATTAACCATGGAATTTTTTGAATGCTTACTTACTTAGGCAATTCCCTCGTAGCTTGGTGGTCCTCCAAATGTAGTGTCTTGGCGGTGGATCCGTAGGTGGCTGTATTTATTTATTTATTTATCGTGTCATCAGCAACCAGACATTCGTACTACATTTTTAACAAAAAAAAAATCGTACTACATTTTAAAAAACAAACAAGCAAACAAAACACAAAGTTTGCAAGCTTGGTAGTTGATTAAATGTCCTTTGACCAGTATCTGGCCACTTGGAGTGCCTCTGGTGTTGCTGTAAGAAGGTCCTCCATTGTGCTCAGGTTGTATTGCAGCAGGTGGTCAGTGGTTTGCTCTTCTCCACACTCGCATGTCGTGGATTCCACTTTGTGGCCCCATTTCTTAAGGTTGGCTCTGCATCTCGTGGTGCCAGAGCGCAGTCTGTTCAGCGCCTTCCAAGTCACCCAGTTTTCTGTGTGCCCAGGGGGGAGTCTCTCATTTGGTATCAGCCATTGATTGAGGTTCTGGGTTTGAGCCTGCCACTTTTGGACTCTCGCTTGCTGGGGTGTTCCAGCGAGTGTCTCTGTAGATCTTAGAAAACTATTTCTTGATTTAAGTCGTTGACTGTTTGGCTGATGACCAAACAAGGGATGGCTGGAGATGTCACTGCCTTGGTCCTTTCACTATTGGCTGCTACTTCCCGGCAGATGTCAGGTAGTGCAATACCAGCTAGACAGTGTAATTTCTGCAGTGGTGTAGGGCGCAGACACCCTGTGATAATGCGGCATGTCTCATTAAGAGCCACATCCACATCCAGGTGGCTGTAGAGCCCTATTATTGATCTGCATGTTCTCTCCCAGGAGGGCATAGGTTTCCAGGTGGTCCTGGTCAGGGTTGGCTTGATGTGCCTTCCTCTTGGCGCGTTTCTTCTTTTCACCCTCGTGCCTCTTTGAATTTTGCAGCACTGCTGGTCACAGCTGACCTCCAGTTAGAGCTCTCAAGGGCCAGGACTTCCCAGGTCTCATGTCTTTGCCACAGTTTTTAAGGTTGGCTTTAAGCTCACCTTTCAGTCTCTTTTCCTATCCACCAACATTACGTTTTTGAATATATTTAGCTGCTTTTGCTGGTTGGAAGAGCAAGTAGGAGCAGCCAGTGTTTATTGGCATCTTCACTCATTCTTTGTAAGATGGAAGTTGAAAGAATATTTATTTATTTACCACATTTATATACCACCTTTCTCAGCCCAGAGGCGACTCAGGGTGTTTCACAGTTTATTTTATGTATTTATTTATTTCATATGCTTCTATCCTGCAACAATTTGATGCCTCAATAATTATAAGCAAATAAAACAATCATAACATACTGTTAAAAACATTTAGCATAAAATATAATAATATAAAAAACCGTTCAAAGCCATAAGAACATTGTTGTGAGCGTTTCCTTGTCAAAGTCATTATTCAATTGCATTGTCAAGTCATTCCATGATTTCGTATAATTATGCTGCATTTGGGAAGGACTACTCAAGCTAGGTTTTCACCTTTCTTATTATCTGTAATTAAAATCCAATATTTAGTTGAACTAACTAATAATGTAAGTGGTTTCTGTGGTGCCGAGTTTATTTTTTTTAATTGTTTTCAAAATGTGATGGCATTAAAATCAAAGAAAATTTATGGGTTTTTTTTGTCCTAAACAACTATTTTTATACAGAGTTTAAAAACCTTCTCTATAACCTGTTTCTAAAATGACCTGTGAAGGCTTCGTTCTGCATGTAGATATTAAATGGCTAGATTTCTCAAAGATTTCAAAGCAAAACAGGGCCTCTGCCACTTAGCTGTCCATTCTCAGCTTGGTGAGCCAGTTGATCAATAGCTTGTCTGTTTTCTTGCAACTTTAACAGATGTTTGATCTGTAATTCATAGCTGGAACTTTGCACAGTATGGATCATAGGTCTTGTTATCCGTGCATTGATATTCTGTTTAATATATAGTCACTAAAGCTGGCTAAAAATTCACACTGAACTCTTTGGAGAATTCAAGGGCTGGAAGCCAGAAAGTCTATGGCTTAGCATCTTTTCTGTCTCTTTCTTAGAAGAGGGAGATAAAGAGATAAAGCCACTGGGGAATCTTACTCTCTGATAGCTTGTTTATGGATGGAGCATGGAATACGTGAAGAGGACAGAAGCTGGAAAGCTGTAATTAAAGTGCTTCAACACTGCAGAATTAACATGGTTTGACACCATTTTATTACCATGGTTCCATGCTATAGAATCACGGGAGTTGTAGTTTTGTAAGATCTCTAGTCCCCTCTACCAAAGAGTGCTGGTGCCTCATCAAACAACTCCCAGGATTCCATAGCATTGAGCCATGGCAATTTAAGTGGTGTTAAACTGCATTAATTCTACAGTGTAGATCAGGCATGGGCATATCTCAGTCCTCCAGATGTCTACAGACTGTTAGGAATTGTGGGAGTTGAAGTCCAAAACACCTGGAGGGCTGAGGTTTCCCATGTGTGGTTTAGATGCATCCTGTGACTAACTAGAGCAGTGTTTCTCAACCTGAGGGTCAGGACCCCTGTGGGGGTCATGAGGGGATGTCAGAGGGGTCACCAAAGACCATCAGAAAACACAGTATTTTCTGTTGATCATGGGGGGTTCTCTGTGGCAAGATTGGCTCAATTCTGTCATTTGTGGGGTTCAGAATGCTCTTTGATTGTAGGTGAACTATAATTCCAAGCAATTTCCAAATGTCAATGTCTCTTTCCCCCCAAACTCCACTAGTGTTCACATTTGGGCATATTGAGTATCCGTGCCAAGTTTGGCCCAGATATATCATTGAGTCCACATTGCTCTCTGGATTTAGGTGAACTACAACTCCAAAATCCAAGGTCAATGCCCACCAAACCCTTCCAGTATTTTCGGTTGATCGTGAGAGTTCGGTGTGCCAAGTTTGGTTCAAATCCATCATTGGTAGGATTCAGAAGGCTCTTTGATTGTAGGTGAACTATAAATCCCAGCAACTACAACTCCCAAATGACAAAATCAATCCCCTACGACCCCACCAGCATTCAAATTTGGGCATATCAGGTATTTATGCCAGATCCAATAAATGAAAATCCATCCTGCAAATCAGATATTTACATTATGATTCATAACAGTAGCGAAATTATAGCTATTAATAGCAAAGAAAATAATTTTATGGTTGGGGGTCACCACAACATGAGGAACTGCATTAAGGGGCCGCAGCATTAGGGAGGTTGAGAACCACTGACCTAGAAGTTAGATGTTCTTTATATGCCTGTTGACATAAGGAACATCTCTATGAATTTTGGCCTGACTGGAATGAATGTGGGTTAGAGACTTTGCTGACCAATGCTTTTGTTTCTGCAGACCTGGGTTGGCAACAAAAGAAGAAAGATGAGCAGCAAGAATGTGGTGGATTCTGGAGGGACTCCTTCGGGGACTGTTGCCAACACACTGACGGTGCCTCCGGAAGTGGCGGTCCGCAACGTGGTCAGCATCGCACGCTCCCAGAGCCAGCAGTCGTCTTGGACATCCTCCAACAGCGATGTCATAGTCACTGGCATATATAATCCAACCTCAACAGGCAGGCTGATGTCCACGAAACAGACGAACACGCTGATGAATGATATGCATAAAAACTCTCTTCCGAGACCTCCTGGGAAAAGCGATCCCGAATTTCAGAGGCAGCACATTGCGGTGGCCCGGCAAGGCCCTCACTGCAAAAACGCTTCGCTCTTCCTGGGGGAAAAAACGATCATTCTTTCGAGACAAACAAGCGTGCTGAACTCGGGAAACTCCATTTATAACCACACAAAGAAAAGCTACGGTGGCTCTTCTGTTCAGACTGCAGAGTTGGTACTACCTCAGAAGCCTGTGTTGTGCCACAGACCCTGCAGAGTGGAGCCGATGGGATGCCAAAGGCTCCAGAAGCCGGAGCATCCCATCCTTGCCTCCCACATGCCGTCCGGACAAAGGGCTAACATCAGAGATCCTTCCTGCAGCACGCACAACTTGGAAATACGGGAGGTTTTTTCCTTAGCTGTTACCGATCAACCTCAGAGAATCCTGGGAGGAAACGCCCAGAAGTCATTGCCTAGTTCAAGCGAAAGCAGTTGTTTATCAATTGCAATGGAAACTGGTGATGTGGACGACGAATACGCTAGGGAAGAAGAGTTGGCATCAATGGGTGCCCAGATACAGAATTATTCAAGGCTGAGCGGAACGTCCCTCAGAGTCCAGAACCCAGGCACAGGTCTGTCTGGGTCAGGCAGAAGCGTCAGCTCCAGTTCACACATGATGAATGCCAGGAACTTGCATGACAATATTCTATATCACAACAGAGACTATCGCTTGCCTCCACGGACCTCCTTGCATACCGCATCCAGTACACTGTACAGCAGTTCCTACCCCTCAAGGAGTAACCTTTCTTCCCATTTTGGAGCATCCAATCAGCTAAGGTTATCCCAAAACCAAAATAATTACCAGGTAATTGGTGTTTTAAGACTCAAGACGTTAAGAGTGTTCTCTTTCTCTCTCTTTGTTGTAACACAGCAGGGGTTCCAGCTGGTTAACTTCATTGGCATGAGCTGAGTCTGTATCATGCGTGCTTTGTCGAGAAAACTGTTTTGTGCAGAAAGATTGCATGCTCTTTACTTAAGCACTTTTTCTCCCAGTCGAGTGGAGGCAGAAGTAAAAAAGCTGCTGGATTCCTCTAAAACAGAGCTTTCCAAACATTTCACATTGGTGACATGACCTTATTAGACACACACCATTTTACTCCCAAACCAGATGATAAGCCAATCCCTTATAAGAGATATGCACCCATACATAAATTTATTTATTTACTAGCTGTCCCCTGCCACGCGTTGCTGTGGCCCACTCTTGTAGTCATGGGGGTTCTGTGTGGGAGGTTTGCCCCAATTCTATCGTTGATTGGGTTCAGAATGCTCTGTGATTGTAGGTGAACTATAAATCCCAGCAACTACAACCTCGAAATGTCAAGATTCTATTTTCCCCAAACTCTACCAGTGTTCACATTTGGGCATATTGAGCATTCGTCTTATTTATTTATTTATTTATTTGCTTCATTTTTATACCGCATTTTTCAGCCCTTGACAGGCGACTCAATGCGGTTAACAACAGCAATTTCAATACACACATTACAAAACCATTGGAGCATTTAAAAACAATGGCATAGCAACAATTAAACATCAATATGACAAATCATTCATATCTCATCAGTAGAATCAGAATCCAATCTCATCATCCATTATTCTGTGTTCCTATTATCAGTTACACTGCCTAATCGAATGCCAGTTCGAACAACCAGGTCTTCACTTTCCTCCGAAATGCCAATAAGGAGGGGGCCGATCTGATATCTGTAGGAAGGGCATTCCACACTACAACTCTAAAACCACCAAACCCTTCCAGTATTTTCTGTCGGTCATGGGAGAACTGTATGCCAAGTTTGGTTCAGTTTGGTGGGGTTCAGAATGCTCTTTGATTGTAGGTGAACTATAAATCCCAGCAACTACAACTCCCAAATGACAAAATCAAATTTTTGAGTGAAGGACATACATTGGGTTGTTAGGTGTCTTGTGTCCAAATTTGGTGTCAATTTATCCAGTGGTTTTTGAGTTCTGTTAATCCCACAAATGAACATTACATTTTTATTTATATAGATTTATTTACTGTATTTGTATACCACCTTTCTCAGCCCGTAGGTGACTCAAGGTGGTTAACAGGGTAAAATTCAATGCTTACAATATCACAAATACAATTAAAAACATAACATTAGATAAAAATTAAACATATCAATAAAATATAAATTCATAGTGTCTTCTTGTTAAAAACATTGTCCGGTCTCATTGTTGTAGTTCCATTTTCCTATGTTAGTTATTCTGCATTTGGAAACGCTTGTTCAAAAAACCACGTCTTGACTTGTTTCCGGAATGTTAAAAGGGAGGTGGCCGATCTAATATCTATAGGGAGGGCGTTCCACAGCTGAGGGGCCACTGCCGAGAAGGCTCTGTCTCTCGTCTCTGCCAAACATACTTGTGACGAGGTGGTAATGAGAGCAGGGCCTCCCCAGACGATCTTAAGGTCCTAGATGGTTCATAAATGGCAATAATGAAATGTGTGGGAATACACCGTATCTCATGTAACCCTTTCATTCATATTTTTTAAAGTACCGTATATTCTCAAGTATAAGCCAACTCGAATATAAGCCAAAACACCCAATTTTTCCACAAAAAACTGGGAAAACGTACTGACTCGAGTATAAGTCTAGGGTGGAAAATGCAGCAGTTACTGGTAAATTTCAAAATAAAAATAGATACCAATAAAATTATTATAATGTAAAACAATATAACACTACTACTACTAATAATGCAATATAATTATATATTTTATATTACATGTAATATTACTAATAATTTTTCAATATAATGGTATAGTACAATATAGTAGTATATAATACTGATATTATACTATGCTAATAATATAATATATTGTATGTATGTGTATGTGTGTGTGTATATATATATATATGTATGTATGTATGTATGTATGTATGTATATATCTTGTAAGCCACTCTGAGTCCCCTGTGCGGTGAGATGGGCAGCATAGAAATGTCGTAAATAAATAACATAACATTACATTACATTTCATTTCATTAATTGAGACATCAGTAGGTTCAATGTTTTTGAATATTTACCATATTTCAAAGAGAAACAGTAAACTGGCTCTGTAAGAGGCAAAAGTGGGGTCAACAAAAACAATATGGTATCAACAATAACATAATAATAATAATAATAATAATAATAATAATAATAATAATAATAGAAATTCATTTGTATCCCACCCTATCTCTCCATAGGGGCTCAGGTTGGTTTCCAACACAGTAAAAGACAAACATTGAATGCCTATATAAACAATGCAGAGCTAGATATAGATCTATAATTATATATACTAATTTCACATATGCATTTCCCCCTGAAACGTTTGCAAATCCTCTCTCTATATGTGCATTTCCCTCTTGCAATATTTGCAAGCCCTATATATCAATGTTTATATCTATCTAGACATCTCTCTCTCTATGTGTGTGCATTTCCTCTACAATATTTGCTCTCTCCTGTCCACAGACACCTCTGTTTACAAAACATTTTTTATCTCTTAAGCCATTGTTTGTTAAGACACCATTTTATTTAATTATTATGTAATATATACCATGCCTTTCAAATTGCATGGAGCCCCCGGTGGTGCAACGGGTTAAACCGCAAAGCTGCTGAACTTGCTGACTGAAAAGTCAGCAGTTTGAGTCCGAGGAGTAGGGTGAGCTTCCACTGTTAGGCCCAGCTTCTGCCAACCTAACAGTTCAATGTGAGTGGATTAATAGGTGAGAAGGTAATGGCGCTCCATGCAGTCATGCTGGCCACACGACCTTAGAGGTGTCTATGGACAATGCCAGCTCTTGAGCTTAGAAATGAGATGAGCTCCATCCCCCAGAGTCGAACAAGACTTAATGTCTAGACTTTTACATTTTCAAATTTTACAGGGTCTAGCAATGAAAAACAGAGTACCCCTGAACCAAAAATATTTGTACAGAGGGTTTTTTTAAAATCAAAGCAAAACAATTATTTTGATTAAAAACATGAAAGAGTAAACGATAATACAGTTAAAATATAGCGTATTATCTACTTGACACATTAATCATGAGCAAAATGACTTCCTCAATAAAAAAAAGATGGCATCTATATATATCTGATTCAAGGAATGGTGACTTTAAAGGCTGTTCCTAATCAATTGTATACAAAGGTGATTAGATCCTGATTTGGAGGTCTGATTTCTTCGTAAACTAGTTTATGGAAGCCAGGAAGCTTTGCTGAAACCAGGTAGAGGAGCAGAGCAGGGAGTGTGGATCACTATATCTGAACCCAAAGATTTATGGAGAAGTAATATTGATGCTGAATGTGATAGAGGTGGGCACAATTTTATACTTGGGCCTTTTGATCAAGTGTGTTGCTACTGCTCCAATTTGGTATAATCTGTAGATTTACATATGTGGATGTTCCCGGTTGGTAATATTCTCTTTCCCTCGACAGATTTCAGGAAACCTCACTGTGCCTTGGATTACGGGTTGTTCCCGAAAAAGAGCAGTAAGTACTTTTTGTGAACGATGCAAGTGGACCAAACAGAGAGTTGTATTTTTAACTGTGCACTTTCCAAATTATTATAATTAAGATCTGTTTTGGTTTTAAAGGAAATCCCTTTTCTTCCTTGCTTTGTCTCTTTTAATTTGCAAAGTGCAGAAATGAAACTGTTGGCTAGGTTTACCAAAGGTCCAGAGTGAAGGGGTGGGGGTGGGGGCAGAAGACAGTTCCATCTTGTCTCCTGTGCTTTACTAATAATGTAATATAATAATATACCGTATATACTCGAGTATAAGCTGACCCGAATATAAGCCGAGGCACCTAATTTTACCACAAAAAACTGGGAAAATGGATTGCAGCTACTAGTAAATGCAGCAGCTACTAGTAAATTTCAAAATAAAAATAGATACCAATCAAATTATATTAATTTAGGCATCAGTAGGTTAAATGTTTTTGAATATTTACATACAACTGTAATTCAAGATAAGACTGTCCAACTGTGATTAAACCATTATTCTAACCTTCTTCAATGTATATATGCTTACATGTCCCCCAATAATAATAAATAGAGTAAAATAATAATAATAGAGTAAAATAATAAATGTAATAATAACAATACAGTAAAATAAATGTAACAATAACAACAATAGAGTAAAATAATAAATGTAATAATAATAACAGCAACAAAGTAAAATAATAAATAACATTGACTCGAGTATAAGCCGGGGGAGACTTTTTCAGCCTAAAAAAAGGACTGAAAAGCTAGGCTTATACTCAAGTATATACAGTAATATAATGCAATATATTGTATATACACATACTGTTTATAATATTATAATGTAATACAATATAATAGTAATACTAATAATAATACAATATTACAATTATATATTTTATATTACATTTAATATTACTAATAATATTACAATACAATGGTATAGTACAATATAGTAATATATAATACTGATACTGTACTATGCTAATAATATAATATATTGTCTGTATATATATCTCTGAGTCCCCTTCAGGGTGAGAAGGGCGACATATAAATGTCATAAATAAATAAATAAAGTCAGAAATACTCACTTTTTTCCCAAACAAATTTGCATATTGGGTTGCATATTGGGCTGAGAATACCATCCAAGGTTATTCTGGATTACAAATTGATTTAGTTGTTTTGTTTTGTTATCAAAGTGTGACATTTACAAAGCGCTTCATTCCTTTTCAAAAAATATTACTGGAATACAATTCCCTGTACAAATACAAAAGATTACGTGAATGCCCTGAAATTATGCCATTCATTAGACTAGAATGTCTGCAAACAGGCTTAGAATTATTTTAAAAGCATTGTAATATGCTGGAATTCAGATTATTTAACACCACCTCAAATTAATAGTCAAATAGTTAACCAGAGATGCTAAAAGAAGAGGAAGTGCATAGTTATTTTTCCAGGACAGTTTTAAGGTTTACCGCAGGACTCCAAGATTTATAGTTCTCTTTTATTGCATTCTCCTATTCCTATAGTGCTACGCAGCCTGGATCTCATTCCCTCTAAATTAATTAAATGAAACAAAAAGGAGAAGCAAAACTAATAAAGAGGCATGCAGAATGTAAAAAAAAAGAGCTTTCAATAATTAGTTCAACTGGACTATAAATTCTAGATAGGTTTTACTTTGAAAGCCAACAGTTACAGCTGTCTTTGTTACTCTCGCCATTAGCAATGTTCGTTTTTAAAGCTTTATTCTCCATTTCCAAAAAGCTGTGCCACATTATTTTTCACATTTCCAGGCTTTTCTAGTTGTTTTGGTGACATCAGTCCCACTAGCTCAATAGTTATCTTGAGCAATGATCTATTTGCCCCAAGGAACTCGGAAATTGTTGTTTCCATTCTGTTTGAGGTTTTGTCTTGTGTCTATTATAACAGGCTGTGTTTTTATTTAATTTTAGTTGGTAAGGCATCATTTGTTTTTATATTTTGGGTTGTTTAATTTTTTTAATATGGATGTATTGTTGTTGTATTCGAGCACTGAATGTTTGCCTTTTATGTTTGGAATCTGCCCTGAGTCCCTCCGGGAGATAGAGGAATATAAATAAGATTATTATTATTATTATTATTATTATTATTATTATTATTAATTATTGGGTTGTTGTAAGTTTTTTGGCTATATGGCCATGTTCTAGAAGCATTCTCTCCTGACATTTCATTTGGCAAGCATCCTCATAACCTCCAAGGGTGCCTGCCATAGATGCAGGTGAAAGGTCAGGAGAGAATGCTTCTAGAACATGGCCTATAGCCAGAAAAACCTACAACAACCCAGTGATTCCGGCCATGAAAGCCTTCGACATATATTATTATTATTATTATTATTAAAAATTTGAGAATATATTGCAATTCTTCTTAGAAGGAGATAATTTTTACAGGCAGGTTTAATTTTGACTTCTAACTAATGTTACTGCTATAGGTTTTTCCATGAATACTTACTGAAAGGATAGATAGATAGATAGATAGATAGATAGATAGATAGATAGATAGGCAAGATCATACAGTGCAAATTTGTTGTTGAAGGCTTTCATGGCCAGAATCACTGGGTTAATGTGTGTTTTCCGGTCTGTATGGCCATGTTCCAGAAGCATTCTCTCCTGACATTTCACCCACATCTATGGCAGATATCCTCAGAGGTTGTGAGGTCTGTTGGAAACTAGGCAAGTGAGGTTTATATATCTGTGGAAAGTCCAGGGTGGTAGAAAAAACTCTTGTCTATTGGAGGCCGGTGCAAATGTTGCAATTGGCTACCTTGATTAGCATTGAATAATCTTGCAGCTTCAAAGCCTGGCTCTTCCTGTTCGGGGATCCTTTGTTGGAAGGTGTTAAGTGATCCTGATTGTTTCCTGTCTGGAATTCCCTGTTTTCTGAGTGTTCCTCTTTCTTTACTGTCCTGATTTTATAAACTGGTAGCCAAATTTTGTTCATTTTCATGGTTTCCTCCTTTCTGTTGAAATTGTCCACATGCTTGTGGATTTCAGTGGCTTCTCTGTATAGATTGACATAGTGGTTATTGGAGTGGTCCAGCATTTCACCTTGGAGATGGTGGGGTTTGCAGATCCTTTTTACACTTGTTTGCCTTCAACAGACAAGAGTTCTTTCTCCCACCCTGGACATTATTCCAAAGATATATAAACCCCTTTTTCCTAGTTTCCATCAGACCTCACATCCTCTGGGAATGCCTTCCATAGATGTGGGCGAAATGTCAAGAGAGAATGCTTCTGGAACATGGCCATACAGCCCAAAAAACTCAAAACAACCCACAACCCACAGTGTTACAAAGAAAATACAGAGCCAAAAACTACATTGAAATCTCATTGTACTGTTTTGAGGTACTGTTTTTAGAAATATCAAAAGTATAAAATCTTGACGCTTTAAAACAAAATGCAGAGGAAACTTATACAACAGAATTACAGCTGACGGATAAGAGAAAGATGACATTTTTCTAAATGCCACCTTATTTTCTGTTTTTGTTTTACTTTGTAGTTACTATCAATGGTACACTGCCCACACTCCTACTATTAAGGCCCTATTGAAATCTATTCACATGGGGTGTACTTTTGTACTATACTGTACTATGTTGATAAAGAAAAGCTTAGGCTGTTGGAAAGAGCCAATACTCTCTTTTCCGGATTCCTTTGCCTAATCTTGAAAAGAAGCCAATGTTGACCTTCACACATGAGAAACCATGTGCAATCTTGAGCATTTTGGAGAGGCAAGCCTCCACGTAGCCACAAGGGCTGCTTTTTATAGTGAATTAATTGACACTCTTTGCCAGAAAGCTGTCTGACAACCTGTCCTTCAGAATGTGTAACGTGACTGATGGATTTAACACCAGGCAAGATGCGATTGATTTCGCAAGCCGTGATACTCCAAAGGGCAAAGTGAAATCTTCAGTCAGTGAGCTTGTTTACATGGATAACTTTTTAAGACCTCCTGCTTCCTAAGACTTTGACTGGCGAGAATCCTTGTCTGAGCTCTTGGGCTTGCCTCCAACTAATCTTCTGCCCCACTTTCTTTTCATTGAGGGCTTCTGAAATTTCTGTGAAAAGTCAAAGGCAATGGATGGCAGTTGCTGCAACTCAAAATATAGTTATTCATATTGGGAAGGCATATCCCAGGAATGAAGGAAATGAGGTTCTCCTGGATTTTTCTATTCCATTTCTTCTTCTTCTTTTGGTTCTCTTCTCCTAATCACTGAGGAGACTTGCTTGGTGTCATATTTGATGTCTTTCTGATGTTGAGTAAAGACCTAGAGCAGAGATTTCCAAACTGTATATCGCAACACATTTGCGTGTCAGCTGAAGTGTGTAGGTGTGTCGGCCAAACGTACCATATATACTCGAGTATAACCCTTTTTTTTCAGGCTGGAAAAGCCCACCTTGGCTTATACTTGAGTTAATGTTATTTATTATTTTACTCTATTATTATTATTATTATTTATTACATTTCCATTATTTTACTCTATTATTATTTTATTAGATTTATTATTTTACTCTATTAATACTATTATTACATTTCCATTATTTTAGTACTATTATTATTATTATTATTATTACATTTACATTATTTTACTCTATTATTATTTTATTAGATTTATTATTTTACTCTATTAATACTGTTATTACATTTCCATTATTTTAGTACATTATTATTATTATTATTACATTTACATTATTTTACTCTATTATTATTATTATTTATTACATTTCCATTATTTTACTCTATTATTATTTTATTAGATTTATTATTTTACTCTATTAATACTGTTATTACATTTCCATTATTTTAGTACATTATTATTATTATTATTACATTTCCATTATTTTACTCTATTATTATTATTATTATTATTTATTACATTTCCATTATTTTACTCTATTATTATTATTTTATTAGATTTATTATTTTACTCTATTAATACTGTTATTACATTTCCATTATTTTAGTACATTATTATTATTATTATTATTACATTTACATTATTTTACTCTATTATTATTTTATTGCATTTATTATTTTACTTTATTATTATTAGATTTATTATTTTACTCTATTAATACTGTTATTATGACATTTCCATTATTTTAATACATTATTATTATTATTATTACATTTACATTATTTTACTTTATTTATTATCATTACATTTATTATTTTACTATATTAATAATGTTGTTATTACATTTCCATTATTTTACTCTATTATTATTACAAATGTAATAATAATAATAATAATAATAATAATGTACTAAAATAATGGAAATGTAATAATAACAGTATTTATAGAGTAAAATAATGACTGTACTAATAATGATAGCGTAAAATAATGAATGTAATAATAATAAATAGAGTAAAATAATAAATGTTATTATTTTATTGCATTTCTGTTATTTTACTCTATTATTATTACAAATATAATGATGACGATGATGATGATGATGATGATGTACTAAAATAATGGAAATGTAATAATAATAATAATGAGGAGCCTCCGGTGGCACAGTGGGTTAAACCGCTGAGCTGCTAAGCTTGTTGACCGAAAGGTCGCAGGTTCGAATCCGGGGAGCAGCGTGAACTTCCGCTGTCAGCCCTAGCTTCTGCCAACCTAGCAGTTCGAAAACATGCAAATGTGAGTAAATCAATAGGTACTGCTCTGGCAGGAAGGTAACAGTGCTTCATGCAGTCACCAAGCAAGTCTCCACATGATCTTGGAGGTGTCTATGGACAACGCCGACTCTTCAGCTTAGAAATGGAGATGAGCACCACACCCCAGAGTTGGACACGACTGGACTTAATGTCAGGGGAAAACCTTTACCTTTACTACTAGTAGTAATAAATAAACAAAATAATAAATGTAATAAAAATAATAATAACAGAGTAAAATAATAGATAACCTTGACTTGAGTATAAGCCAAGGGGGGTCTTGAACTGTCAACTTTTCAATGGAAAAAAATATTCTGTAGCTGGCGATTAACCCGCTGTGCTAAATCCCGGCCCTTTCGGAAGCCTGGCAGCCTGGAAGCTGGTAGAAAGCTTCCAGGCTCAAGGAAGGATGGGATAGATAATAGATAATGCCATATCACTTATGTTTGGCTAAGAAACTGTTCAGATTTAGGGAGCCCTTTTTGTATAAAAGGAAAGTACAAGACCTGTCTTAGCTATCAAAAGCATGACCAGGAAATGAAAAATGATTCACTGTTTATTATAGTGAATCATGCTACTCTGCGTTTCCTGTTAAATTGCAGTGATTTTTATTCCATACAGGTGACCAGGCTTATACTTATGACAGTCATAATCTATGCTGAGCTCCTATCAAATCTGTGTAGAGTAACTTCTGTGAATAACATTATGAATCAGTTCAAGGATACACTTTGTTGAGTCGAGTAATTATGAACAGGGCTTTGATCTTTTGTGGTGTTTGGTTTCTGTGCTACTTGTCTGCCTTCTGTCATTTAATAAACAGTCGATATATGTTGTTTTGCAGCTGCAGGACCGTACACAATTCAGTGACCGGGATTTAGCTACCCTTAAGAAATACTGGGACAAGGGCATGACTAGCCTTGGCTCAGTTTGCAGAGAGAAAATTGAAGCGGTTGCTGCGGAGTTGAATGTTGACTGTGAAATAGTGCGGGTAAGAAACCTCTCATCCTCTCCTTTTTGGTTGCCGGAGCAAAAATAGCCTGAGATGAAAGCTTTTTTAAAAATTGCATGAGGCAGACTGAAATAGATTGCACGTGTTACATAATGAATGGCCGCGTCAGGAAGTGCTCTTTTGCTGTTTCCTGTCTATTTATAGTTAAAAATCCCTCAGGTGAGACATTTATCGATCGGCAGCACGAGCTGGATGTTTGACTGGGATTTATATAAGTTGTGCAAGAGTGCGGCTGGGGTTTATATAAGAGCTCTCGCTCTCTTTTTTTAAGAAAAAGCAAGAGACTTTTGAGAACAAAATGTAAAACTGCTTTGGAGCAAAAGGGAGCAGTTGCTAATATAGTAAAGCTGCAGCTTAATGTCAGAAGCAATGCTTCACATAGACCAAGTCTCATGTTTCCTCTTCACATACGCCAATGCATCCTCTTCATCCTGGAAACAAGTGACGAATGAAGTGCCATAAGCAGTGTTCCATCCTGGGCCCAGTCCTGTTCAACGTGTTTATTAATGACTAGCCGTCCCCTGCCACGTGTTGCTGTGGCTCGCTCTGGTGGTCATGGGGGTTCTGTGTGGGAGGTTTGGCCCAATTCTATCGTTGGTGGGGTTCAGAATGCTCTGTAATTGTAGGTGAACTACGAATCTCAGCAACTGCAACTCCCAAATGTCAAGATTCTATTTTCCCCAAACTCCACCAGTGTTCACATTTGGGCATATTGAGTATTCGTGTAGAGTTTGGTCCAGATCCATCATTGTTTGAGTCCACAGTGATCTCTGGATGTAGGTGAACTAGAACTCCAAAACCAAAGGAAGCTGCCCACCAAACCCTTCCAGAATTTTCTGTTGGTCATGGGAGAACTGTGTGCCAAGTTTGGTTCAATTCTGTGGAGCTTGTTTTCTGAGTCGCCTTCGGGTTGAGAAGAGCGGGGTATAAATACAGTAAATGGGTATAAATACAATTTGCTACTGGGCTCAATTCAAAGTGCTGGCGTTGGCCTATAAAGCCCTAAACGGTTCCGGCCCAAGTTACCTATCCGATCGCATCTCTGCCTATGAACCCACTAGGACTTTGAGATCTTCCGGGGAGGCCCTGCTCTCGATCCCGCCTGCAACACAGGCTCGGTTGGCGGGGACGAGAGACAGGGCCTTCTCGGTGGTGGCCCCTCGGCTGTGGAACGCCCTTCCCACGGACATTAGATCGGCTCCATCGCTAATGGTATTTTGGAGAAAAGTGAAAACCTGGTTATTTGAACAGGCGTTTGAATAGGCAGTGCAATGAATATAGGAACGGAACAACGGATGACGAGTTTGGATCATGTTTTCAGTTATGAGACGACAGTGAATGGTTATTGTCGTTAATTGATTAGTCTGTTATTGTGTTAATTGTTTTTAATATCTTGTTGTCACATTGAATTTTTGCTGCTACTATTGTTAACCACTGTGAGTCGCCTAAGGGCTGAGAACAGCGGTATACAAATAAAGTAAATAAATAAATAAACAAATAATAAATAAATAATTGTGTATAAATAATAAATAAATGTGTAGCTCTAGGCAAGCTAATATTCTCTTAGTGATTTTCCCGGAAGTGAGCTTAGTGGCTTGGTGAACATAGTAGGGTATAAACCAGGGGTCCTCAAACTAAGTCCCGGGGCCCAGGTACGGCCCTCCAAGGTCATTTCCCTGGCCCTCGCTCAGGGTCAACCTAAGTCTGAAATGACTTGAAAGCACACACTAACAACAATCCTATCTCATCAGCCAAAAGCAGTTCCACACTTCCCATTGAAATACTAATAAATTTATATTTGTTAAAATTGTTCTTCATTTTAATTATTGTATTGTTTTAAAGTGTTTTTTGCACTACAAATAAGATATGTGCAGTGTGCATAGGAATTCATTCATGTTTTTTTTTTCAAATTATAATCCGGCCCTCTGTTTGAGGGACTGTGACCTGGCCCTCTGTTTAAAAGGTTTGTGGACCCCTAGTATAAACTCTTATCAGTTTATACCATCCTGTGAAACAGACTTGAAAATCCAGTTTGGATTAGGTCATTCCATTCAGTGGAACTAAAATGGTTTTTTTTTTTTTTTAATTTTAAACAGTTCTGTCCTTCTACTAGGAACACTAAAAATAACTTGCAGCACAAAGAAGTAGGTAATGAAGACAATATATTAGCACTATAACATATTATAATAAAACCAGCACCCAGAGAGGATTATCAGTTCAGCTTCCTTAAGAGTGAACTCTTCATCAGGTGCTGGCACAGAGACAAGGTTTTTCTGACCTCTACATGGAGGGCATTCCAGAGCATCAGCCTTAGCATAGAAGACCCAGTTCCTTACCTCATCTGCCAGGAATCAATTGATACGGGGAACTAAAACACAACCTCAGGTGCTGAATATAGCATTAGGAAAGATGTGAGCAGAGGCTATTCTTAAATTCCAGTTCTTTATTGTACTTAAATTCCAGTTCTTTATTGGGGAACGTGTGGCTCGAGAGCAGTATGTGTGAAAAAGATCTTGAGGTCCTCGTGGACAACAAGTTAAACATGAGCCAACAATGTGATGCGGCTGCAAAAAAAACCAATAAGATTTTGGCTTGCATCAATAGGAGCATAGTGTCTAGATCCAGGGAAGTCATGCTTCCCATGCTCTATTCTTCCTTGGTTAGACCACACCTGGAATATTGTGTCGAATTCTGGGAACTGCAATTGAAAAGAGATACCGATAAGCTGGAATGTGTCCAGAGGAGGGCAACTAAAATGATCAAGGGTCTGGAGAACAAGCCCTATGAGGAGCAGCTTAAAGAGCTGGGCATTTTTAGCCTGAAGAAGAGAAGGCTGAGAGGAGACAGCATAGCCATGTGTAAATATGTGAGAGGGAGTCATAGGAAGGAGGGAGCAAGCTTGTTTTCTGCCTCCCTGCAGACTAGGATGTGGAACAATGGCTTCAAACTACAAGAAGGGGGGTTCCATCTGAACATTAGGAAGAACTTCCTGACTGTGAGAGCTGTTCAGCAGTGGAACTCTCTGCCGCGGAGTGTGATGGAGGCTCCTTCTTCGGAAGTTTTTAAACAGGCTGGATGGCTATCTGTCAGGGGTGCTTTGAATTTCCTGCTTCATTTCCTGCTTCTTGGCAGAATGGGGTTGAACTGGATAGCCCATGTGGTCTCTTCCAACTCTAGGATTCTATGATTCTATGGACTATAGCTGGCAAGATAAGGGAAGGAGATTCAGATTAAATTTTAGGAGGAATCTCCTAGCAATCTGCACTGTTCCAACAGTGGAGTGGACTACCTTGGTGAGTGATGGCTTCTCCTTTAATTCAGGAAGATTTGGAATGGCCATATGTCAGATGTGCCTTAGCTTGGATTTCTACATTGGCAGGGACTACGTGATCCTTGAGGTTACCATTCATCTTTCTAATTTTATAAACTTACTAGCCGTCCCCTGCCACGCATTGCTGTGGCTCAGTCTGTATACATGTGTTGTGTGTGTCTATGTATGCGTATATATCTATATATGTGGTTTTAAACTTGCGCTGTAGCATCTTTTTGCTTTTTTGGATTTTAAGTCACTTCCACTGTGTTTTCAGTGTTTTATGAGTGATGGTCACTCATTGGCCTGAGAGGTGTCTTGTGTCCAAATTTGGTGTCAATTTGACCAGTGGTTTTTGAATTATGTTAATCCCACAAAAAAATTACATTTTTGTTTATATACTAGCTGTCCCCTGCCACGCATTACTGTGGCCCAGTCTGTGTATATGTGTGTGTATATATTTGTGTAGATGTGTATATATGTGGTTTTGTCCATGTGTTGTCATGTGGGTTTTTTTTTTTAAAGTCTCTACTGCTGCGTTTTTCAGTATTTTTATGAGCGATGATCACTTGTTGGCCTGAGAGGTGTCTTGTATCCAAATTTGGTGTCAATTCATCCAGTGGGTTTTGAGTTATGTTAATTCCACAAACTAACATTACATTTTTATTTATATAGAGGAGCACTGCTGTTCAGAAGCTGCAGATCAATTTCCTATAAGGCCTCTGAACAATGGTGTGCAGGTGACTCTGAAGAAAGATGAAATGCTGGTCCACAGCATCATATCTCTGGCTGCAAGATCTCCTTATTCTTTACTTCTGTCTTTTTCTGTTACTGTGCACAAGAAACAAGCAATTTCCTAAAATCTAGGGATCTTGTTATATTTTCCAAACTGTGGCTTAGACTTTCTACATGTCTGTTTTTCATTGCAAGACTTGGATTGGGAATCGGAGACGAAAATATCGACTGATGGGAATTGAAGTCCCCCCTCCTCGAGGTGGCCCTGCCGATTTTTCCAATCAATCTGATTCGAGCAGTAAGTCAATATCCATTCCAGGAGATGATGCTTCAACTGATGTGGGAGATGACAATGACAGGAACGATGAAGTATCCATCTGCTTATCAGAAGGAAGCTCACAAGGTATGAACAGCCTCTGCCTTCGTTATACAGTGGGAAGTGAGACGTATAACAAAATGTTACAATACAGTGTCCCTGTGCCATTTCATTAGCAGTGCCTATCCGTGAGCAACAAAATTATGGATTTTTATATGACCCTCTAGCTGTCCCCAGCCACGCGTTGCTTTGGCCCCCATGGGAGTTCTGTGTGGGAGGTTCGGCCCAATTCTATCGTTGGTGGGATTCAAAATGCTCTGTGATTGTAGGTGAACTATAAATCCCAGCAACTACAACTTCCAAATGTCAAGATTCTATTTTCCCCAAACTCTACCAGTGTGCACATTTGGGCATATTGAGTATTAGTGTAGAGTTTGGTCCAGACCCATCATTGTGAGTCCACAGTGATCTCTGGATGTAGGTGAACTACAACGCCAAAACCAAAGGACACTGCCCACCAAACCTTTCCAGTATTTTCTGTTGGTCTTGGGAGAACTGTGTGCCAAGTTTGGTCTAATTCTATTGTCAATGGGGTTCAGAATGCTCTTTGATTGTAGGTGAACTATAAATCCCAGCAACTACAACTCTCAAATGACAAAGGCAGAGGTTTCCCTTTCCATCTCCAGCGTCTGGAGGTGATGCACAACTCTGGCCATGGAGAGGTGACCTTGTTCCATTTTCCATGCCAGAAAGTCTGTTGTCTGTGTTCTGCCAATTCTGTAAGTCGCTTTGAGTCACCTTAAGGCTGAGAAAGGCGGGCTACAAATTCAATAAATAAATAAATAAATAAATAAAAAGTCCCCCCCAGTCGTGTTTTGCCGGCATGGCTGCAGGGTGCCTTTTATCTTCTTGCCAAGGCAGTACCTATTGATCTATTTACATTACATGTTTTCAAACTGCTAGGTAGGCAGAAGTTAGGGCTGACAGCGGGAGCTCACCTCAACCTGCAGCTTTGAACTGCCAACCTTCCAGGTTGCAAGTTTTTCTGCAGCTAGCAGTTTACTACTGCTGGGCTATCATGGCCCCAATAAAATAGGTTCTTGCTTTTGCTTTTCCAGTCAAAGAAGGGAATGGTTTCTTTTTTTAAAATGAGAATTCTGCTGTCCTGGAGACTAGGATGTGGAACAGTGGCTTCAAACTACAGGAAAGGAGAGTCCACCTGAACATAATAAATAATATAATAATACATCTTTATTTATACCCCGCCTCCGTCACCCCAAGGGACTCAGAGCGGCTTACATGAGGCCAAGCCCAACAACACATCAATAAACAAGAAAGCAATAAACAAAAAATAACAACAATACAGTTAAATAAATCACATATAAACATTAACATGCAATAATTTAAAAAATAATTTAAAAGCCAGATATAATAGTTAAAAAATAAAAAAATAAACCCTGGCCATGAGCAAGGAAGGATATATCTAATAGGAGGGTTTTAAAGAAGTGAGGGGAGCGCAATCCAAGTGGATAGTTAAAAGTACATTTGAGAACATTTTGCTAGGAATTTTTTCCTTATTCCGGGAAGGCACACTGGAACAGCCACGTTTTCAGGCTCCTCCTAAAGACTGCCAATGTTGGGGCATGCCTGATATCCTTAGGAAGTGAGTTCCAGAGTTGGGGGGCCACCACCAAGAAGGCCCTCTTCCTCGTCCCCACCAATCGCACCTGCGAGGGAGGCAGGAGCGAGAGCAGGGCCTCTCCAGATGAACGAAGAGACATGAGGAAGAACTTCCTAACTGTGAGCTGTTCAGCAGTGGAACTCTCTGCCCCAGAGTGTGGTGGAGGCTCCTTCTTTGAAGGCTTTTAAGCAGAGCCTGGATGGCAATCTATCTGTCGGAGGTGCTTTGAATGCAATTTTTCTGCTTCTTGGCAGAATGGGGTTGGACTGGGTGGCTCACGAGGTCTCTTCCAACTCTGTGATTCAAAGGTACAGTATTCACATTGACCTGTGGATAAGTCAACCCAGGGTTCTTTTGGGCTCATTTTTTGACTATATATTTCTATACATCAATATATAGGGTAATCATTTGACAACGACAATACAAAATCTACCTCCATCACCAGAAATAAAAAAGCTGGGATAGAATTTCCATTTTGTCTATACAGCAAACTCTATTTCAGTTAGAGCACATTGTGCTACCTGCGCAAGTTCATCTATTTGTTTTAATGTTTCTAACTGGAAGAAATCAACCAAGGCAGTGGCACTGGAATTTTTACAACTAGCCCATTTCTGGGACATATGTAGAGTTGTGTGTTGGTTTAACTTTGCTTTAATCTCTTGGAAGAAGTGAGGAGAGTGACTAAGAAATTGGGAAGTGGGAACAAACTTGTGACGAGTCTGTCAAATTTTCAATTATAAAGGGAATGAGATAACGCAGAAATCGTTGGAAGTGACTGAATACCAAGTAAGTTACCGGAGTCTGCAGAGTCTCCTCTTTGCCTCAGGCAAAAGGAACTCCTCCAGCAGAAGAGTTGAGAAATTGTCTGAACACTCTGCAATTCGTGTGAAAAGCTGTCTTAATATTAATTGAGTCTGGCACTGGGAAGCTTAGGATGGAGCCATCAGAGAAAGGCAACCAGAAGATGATTGCAATCGATGCATATATAGCTGTGGGGTTTTTATTGTTTGGGAATGAAATGAGATTTTATTTTTGTTCCCATCCCTGATCACACTGGGAACCCCCAAATTAGTTCAGCTTAGATAGACACCAGTGGAATACGTTTTGTGTATAGAAAGAGATCTGCAATTCAGTATTAGTCTTCAATAATTATTTTTCTAAGGTGTGAGATGGGTTAATGTACTCTGAAATAGATGAACTCTTTCAAGAATCTGACTTTCTCTACTAAGGAACTGCCATGAATGAGACACTCTTGCAAGTTACTTTCTGATTCTAATAATGGGAACTTCAGTCTAGACGCAAAATTAATTTTAGACATAATAGTTGAGAAGTAGATAGCACTCAAACTCTGCATGACAATTGATCCTGTGTGATTAATGCTTTAGCATTTTTTGCGCTATATAAATAGATCCAAGAGTCACAAGAACAGCCTTTTCATTTTGTTTTTATTGAATTAAAACTGAAGCATTCTTTGTAATCCAAGTGACATCTTATAATGTTTTGAAGGTTCGTGACCACTATTTATTGTCTGAGATTCAAATAGAGAGAAACGAGGATTGTATCAGAACTTACTGTATATACTCGAGTATAAGCCGAACCGAATATAAGCCGAGGCACCTAATTTTACTACAAAAATTGGCAAAACTTATTGATTCAAGTATAAGCCGAGGGTGGAAAATGCAGCAGCTATTGGTGAATTTCAAGAATAATAATAAAAATAGATACAAATAAAATTACATTAATTGAGGCATCCTTAGCAGACTTCACACACACAAAAAACACGGAAAACCTGGCTCTTCCATTGTGCCTTTGGAAAGTGACCATTTATCCCACTTCTGTTTGCCCCATCTATAGTGTTGCCCCTATGATGCACTTTCCCCCGTCCTAAACTGAAAGCCTTACCCCACTGTTTTATCCTTCTTGGGCTCCCCTCACTTACACATTCTCTATTCCTACCTCACCCAGGGTTTTATCATTTCATCTCATCCATTTGGCCTGCCCATCCTGTTCGATTTTATATTGTGTTTATTTGCTTTATTGTTTTATTTTGCTACTGTAATTATTTTCTGATGTAAGTTTTGTTTTGTTATTTTGCATTCTGTATTTTATTGTGTTGTATTGTATTTTGGGGGGGGGGGGGTTGGCCTCATGCTAGCCGCCCTGAGTCCCCATTGGGGAGATGGTGGCGGGGTATAAATAAAGTTTTATTATTATTATTATTATTATTATTATTATTATTATTATTATTATTTATCAGTAGGTTAAATGTTTTTGAATCTATATAAATAAAAATGTAATGTTCATTTGTGGGATTAACATAACTCCAAAACCACTGGATGAATTGACACCAAATTTGGACACAGTGTACCTATCAGGCCAACAAAACAGTGCTAAGTCTGATGGATCCTTTGACTAAAGTTATTGTTTGCCTTCCTCTTCATGGGAGGATACAGTGGGGCTGATTGTAGATTTATGTATTTACTTCCTACTTATTTTCTTTATTTCTGTAGAAGAACACAGTGAAGTTCTTCAGAATGAAGACATTGGGCATAAGGGGAGGGACCAGACTACTGTAGCTGCTGATAATGTGGTAAGTATGCATTCTTCATTCAGAATTGATGGAGTCAGTATAGATAATATTGATTGAAGTGTGAAAGTAATAGATAGTCATATAAATGTTGTTTTAATATCAAAGACTTTCATGGCCGAAATCACTGGGTTGTTGTGAGTTTTTCGGGCTTGTATGGCCATGTTCCAGAAGCATTCTCTCCTGATGTTTTGCCTGCATCTATGGCAAGCATCCTCAGAGGCTGTGAGGATGCAGGCACAGATTCAGGCAAAATGTCAGGAGAGAATGCTTCTGGAACATGGCCATACAGCCTGAAAAGCTCACAACAACCCAGTTGTTTTAATAGATTGTCTTATCAGTGTTGTTCTACAGGCATACTTGACTTTGTTTTTGTTCAACTAAAAATGCTGTAACATGTATAGACTCTCATCTCATCTCTCTTATTCTGATATGGATTTAGAAACATTGGTTCAAAATACATTTGCATTGTTTGTTTTTTAGAAAATAGAAATAATAGATGATGAAGAAAGTGATATGATAAGTAATTCTGAAGTGGATCAAATGAGTTCTCTTCTGGACTATAAAGTAAGTAACATACATTTATATGTAAGTAAGTAACATACATTTGTATTTAAGTGTAAGTTCAAATCTAAAATACAGATTTTGCTCAAAAGGGAGAGGTAGTTCAGACGAACAACTGCTTTAGCAGCAAACAAATTTTCCAGAATGGTGATAAGGAGTAGGCTTGGGACTGAATCAGTTTGAATGAAAATTATTTGTAATATTCAATGGTCCATTTTATATGATCTCCAAAACCAGAATGGGGAAGAGGGAACCGTAAAGCCAGCAAAATGGATTACAGGAGCCAGATTTCATTGGCTGTAGGAGACAATGGGGTTAAGTCTGCAATATACCTGAGGCAGGAGTGTGCCATGGGGCTCCTGGAGAAGATAGGATTATTGCAGCATCTTTTCTCCCTCCCCAGCAGCAGTAGCATCTGTCCATTTCTTTTTGGAAAGTTTCCTAGGCTCCTCCTCCAGAGAAGGTCCTGCTGGAAACTCATTTTCCAAGCAGCAATTGCATGGGGTGGACATTGAAAAATATATTAGCTTCTCAAAACATTTATTTATTATTTATTTATTTACTGCATTTATTGACCGCCGCTCTCAGCCCTAGGGCGACTCGCGGCGGTGCACAACATATAAAAACAGTTTACAAAAGGGCAAAACAGGAAATCAATACAACAATAATACACTATAATCTAGTTACACTAAATAATCCGCTCCGTCACATCATAGAATCATAACCAATATCGTAATCCGTATTCCGTTCCAGTTGTCAATTACCAGTTGCCGTAGCGCTCAGTTGAATGCCTTCTCAAATAGCCAGGTCTTCAGGCTCTTACGGAAGGACAGAAGGGAGGGCGCCTGTCTGATGTCAGCAGGGAGGTCATTCCACAGCCGGGGGGCCACCACCGAGAAGGCCCTTTCTCTCGTCCCCGCCAGACGTGCCTGTGAAGCAGGCGGGATCGAGAGAAGGGCCTCCCCAGACGATCTCAAGGTCCTTGTGGGCTCATAGGCCAAGATGCGGAATGAATGATGGAAGTTGAAGTTTTTCTTTCTCTCTGTTTCTCAACCAATAAAAAGCCTGGTTGTGTCCATGCTCTGATTGGCTGAAAATGGACACAATTGGCAACTACACTTTCCAGAACCCTCGCTTGCAGTTTATCTTATTTTAAAAAATGTTGTGGTTAAAACTTGAAATAATTCTAAAAAATCAGTAGTTTGGTGAATAGTTTTGAAACTTGGCAGGCCTGCAGTTGTAAATGGGGTCTGAAACTGAGGTAGGGTTCATGCAGATGGGCCTTAAAATGACTGAGGATTGAGCCTTTAAAATTTCACATTGTAGCCTTTAAAGTTTCACATGGGCTGAAACTTTGCTGAATAATAATGGCCAAACCCCTCCTTGTTTGAGTAACTTCCCGGTGAACAGAATGAGGGGTTGGTTGCCAATGGACCGCAAAATGGCATGCCTTTTGGCTGAATTTCACACCTCTAATAAGGAGTTCTACTACTCTCTTCCACTCTCCTACTTTGAAGAAATACAGAATACTGTCATTAAAATACATGGACTATTGCCCAGGGTTCTGTCTCTGTGCCTCCCATAAACTATGCATTCCTAAAGATAATAGAATATTTTAGGTATTTTCTCCTTTTGTTTAGTAAGCAATTACTGCATTTCCTGAAAACACAGACAAGATATAAAGCCGATAACTATATAAATACAAATGGATTGCAAATCAGTGGGCGCTTTTATTTTGGTGCTAATAGTGGGTAGAGACGAGCCATTTATTCTTTTTCCACACAGTACTGCAACATTGCTCTGTAATTATGATGAAACAATGAGAACCTTTGAAGGTAACCTCCCTCTTTCTGCTATTTTGAGTGGCAGGGGAAGGGGAACACACAATGTTGTGACCCTGCAATGCCATCAGTGTTGGAGGCCATTGTTCTGGSACTGGAGGTATTTAGAAGTGAAACCGCTGGGCGAGGTCATCRGGAGTTTTGGAGTTGGTTGCCATCTCTACGCAGATGACACACAACTCTACTACTCTTTTCCACCTAACTCCAAGGAAGCCCATRGGGTGCTGGACGGGTGTCTGACCGCTGTGGCTGTCTGGATGAGGAAGAACAAGCTGAAGATTAATCCCAACAAGACAGAGGTCCTCCTGGTCGATCGTAAACCGGATCGGGGTATAGGGTGGCAACCTGTGCTGGATGGGGTTACACTCCCCCTGAAGTCACAGGTCCGCAGTTTGGGTGWCCTCCTGGACTCATCACTGTCGCTTGAAGCTCAGGCGTCGGCGGTGGCTGGGAGGGCCTTTGCACAATTGAGACTCGTGCGCCAACTGCGACCGTACCTCGTGAAGGCGGATCTGGCCAGGGTGGTCCACGCCTTAGTCACTTCCAGATTGGACTACTGTAATGCACTCTACGTGGAGCTGCCCTTGAAAACGGCCCGGAAATTTCAATTGCTCCTTACAGAGAGAGGTCAACCCTCCTGTTTAAGGAGCTCCACTGGCTGCCATTCATTTTCTGGTCCCAATTCAAGGTGCAGGTGCTTACCTACAAAGCCCTAAATGGTTTGGAACCCGCCTACCTATGTGACCGCATCTCTGTGTACGAACCCACACGATCTCTTCGTTCATCTGGAGAGGCCCTGCTCACGATCCCACATGCATCGCAAGCGCGATTGGTGGGGACGAGGGACAGGGCTTTCTTGGTGGTGGCCCCTCGACTCTGGAATTCTCTCCCTAAGGACATCAAGCAGGTCCCGTCGCTAGCAATCTTTAGGAGGAACTTGTAAACGTGGTTGTTCCAGTGTACCTTTCCAGAATAAGGAATGTCCTAGCACTATGTCCCAACGCACTTTATCAGAGAGTCAGGATATCTGCATGCCCATCCCTATCCAAACACCCCACCTTGTCATGCCCAGCACTTTTTATTTTAATTGTTACAATTGGCCCAGCTATTGTTTTTAATTGCGTCATTGGGTGTTGTTAATTGTTATTGCTTTGTTTTTTGAGTTATTATGTTGTTGCTGCTGCTGTTTTATTGTTGTATTTGGGCTCGGCCTCTTGTAAGCCGCACCGAGTCCTAAGGAAGATGGTAGCGGGGTACAAATAAAGGTTTATTATTATTATTGTTAGAAGTAGGGTGCTGATTTGAAGATGGACGGGCATTGCGTATTTCCGCACCTTGAGAATTGCAATGAAAGTTTGCTTTCGATGCAAAATTAATAAAAACAGTTGGAAAGTGGCCTTTTTGCCATCATTGCACACATTTGGATTTGGGAATGGTTCCCTTTAAGCTTGGATACTCTGAAATTTTGATCAGTATTAGAATATGGGATGTTCTATATTTTATTTTGAAACATTACCTAGAATTAAAATGAGTGAAGTGTCTTTAAAATATACACAATGCATGCATAATTGAGGTTCCCACATTAATTTCTTGAGCTCTGCCTTTAGGGCACAGCCAGTATTGAATGAATATAGATGGATATAGAGGAGAGGAGGAAAAAGAGTGACCTTTTCTTAATGTCAGTTGAATGGCTTGTTGTGACAGCCTGTCCTGCATAGCATTGTTTAATTTTTTATTACATTTTGACATAAAAGTGTTAGTCTCCCAAGCCATGTTGTTTCTGCATAAATATATGTATGCGTGCTTTGCCTGGCTAAAATCTGAGTTAAAGTAACTGGCCTACATAATTTTATTACCCTTAAGAAATAGATAAACCTTTAAAATATATTTTATTAGCTGTACCCACCACGACCTTCCGTCTTTCTTTCTCTCCTTCTTTCTTTCTCTTCTTCCTTCCCTCCCTCTTTCCTTCCTTCCTTCCCTTTTTTTCTTTCCTTGTCTCCTTCCTTCTTTCCTTCTCTTCCTCTTCCCTTCCCCCCCTTTTCTTTCCCTTTCTCTTTCTCCCCTTTCTTCCTTCCCTACCTATTCATGGACTCCAACTCTCAGCAGTCCTCCTGATCAATCTACCTACCTACCTCTATCTAATCTATCTTACCTATCTGGAGGATTGCTGCTCTATCAAACCTTCAGTCTCTCTCTGTCTCTGTCTCTGTACTGCCTTGATCTGCACTCTAAATCACTGCATATCCAGGAACAGTTAAATCACACTTGTCGTATTTTATGGGAAGAACAGCCTTTGGGTTGGGAAAAAGGTGTCATGGGGTCACCTTCAAAAGAGTTTGACTACGCTTGGTCAAACTTCTGATGCCACACTATACAGACCTTGCCCCTTGTGTGGGTCCACACCAACAGTCCCTTGTAAAAACCTCTCTCTCTTTCTCCTTCTAGCTCTAAAACTGAGGTGAAGAAAAGCTTGAGAAACCCTCCCATTGCTACCAATGGCATGAAAATATTTATTCTTTTGGATGCAGAACAAGAACGCCCATTCAGAAAGGCACCCCTTTTCAGTTGGAAGCGGCGCTTGTAAACGAAAACGGGGCCATACGAATGAAACAAACAGAAACTGATAGTGATTCTACTATACAAATGCACAAGACTAGTATATACTCATATTAGTCAGCCTCATGTTTAAGTTGAGGGCAGGTTTTGAGACAGAAATTATGAATTTTAATGAGTCGAGAGTCGTTCCAGAAAGAGGGAAAGCCCAGTGCCACCTTGGGAAGCCAACTGTCCCAGCTGCTGCCAACAAAGTTATTCAAAAAGGTCAAAAGGAGCATTGCAGTGGATCCAGTAGAATTTATTTATTTATTGTGTCAGGAGCAAACCAAATAGTTGTATTGCATTTTGAACAAACAAACAAACAAAATATAAAGTTTGCAAGCTTGGTAGTTGATTAAATGTCCTTTGACCAGTAACTGGCCACTTGGAGTGCCTCTGGTGTTGCTGTAAGAAGGTCCTCCATTGTGCATGTGGCAGGGCTCAGGTTGCATTGCAGCAGGTGGTCAGTGGTTTGCTCTTCTCCACACTCACATATTATGGATTTGACTTTGTAGCCCCATTTCTTACGGTTGACTCTACATCTTGTGGTGCCAGAGCGCAGTC